TCGAAAAGCTATGCGTGCGGCCATTTTCTTGAGTATGCCTTCCCTCTGCTTCTTATGGAGTTCCTCTAATGAAACCTTTTAACACAGCTGCAGCCAAAGATTCTAGCAGAGACCACACTTTGGGGTATCGGTGAGCACTTTGTAGTCATTACTCGCGAGTCTGCCTGCTGACGCATTGGGACAACATGAACACACTTGCAGCTTTTCTATGTGTTCCAGAAGTTCGGCCGATTGGGTGATGGTGTCTGCATTGCCAGGTGACTTGGCTAAGCGATGGTGACGGCTGCTAATGGAGACTGTCATGTCTTCTGCGACGAAAACGCATTTCTCCACAAATAGCACTCTTTTTTTTTCTTTGAGCCCTAGAAACACCACAAGACATCTTGTCTCGCCATCGTCAACAGCTTTCCGCCAGCATGCAAACAAACGTTTTCTATGTCTTTAAGCGAAATGACGCCACTAGTTGACGGCATGTCGGGACTTATTTCACTGTCTTCGAGCTCAGTGCTCGGAGATAGTCTATTCTTTTTCGCCGATGATATTCTGGAAAATACCCCACTCCTTACAAGGAGCTTTCGCTTCTTCGTCGCGGTTCCCGCAACAAAAGTAAGCGGGCAAGGTAAGCGGGCAAATTCGGGAATATTCGTGGAACGCATCCTTCGACGAGGTCCCACTTTCCTCTTGCGATTTGTACCTTCTTACCATATGACGTGAGTGAAAGTCTTCAGGATGTCTTTCTCATGAAAGAGCATATTGATACAAAACAGCCGCTAAACACGGCTGCATGAAAGAGGAGGACGAAGTCAGTTTTCGTGGGATGCTGGTCTGGCGCCATCTTGCTCGTCGAGTTCTGTGTGCTGTAGATAGATCATTAAACAAGTTACTCGTAACAATATCACACACACGTGAGATGCTGGGCAGTTTCTTATCCGCACGAGGAATAGCGTGGTCCCATACCTCTCGCTGCTCAGGTGCACGTGGGTACAAAAGAAATGTAGTGGTGTCTCTCATTTCCTGTAGCTACTCTACAGCCGAGAACGCAACATCTGGGCATGATGAAAACACGCAACACATACAAAGCAGAGCAGGGCGTGCTGAAGCACAAAACTGTTCGCGGAGAAAGCAGCTTCTACGGATAAAGACGCACTGCAACATGCAGAGCCGACGGAGGTTACGGGAGTGGCATGAGCGAGCATGCAGTGAGTGAATCCGGATGCGACAGCAGCGCCACATTTGTCGCTGGCAGCGGCAGCGCCGCGCAACATCGCTCAGTTTTGCAACTTACCTAGTTCTAGAAACGTTGCATGTCCCCACACGCCGAGCAGCAAACAATCCATCTTGTTTCCATTTTTTGTTTTTGTTTGTTTCTATCTAGTCGTGAACTTGAGATGGAAACCAAGAAACAGTAGCACAATGCACTTTTGCTCGCAACGAAAGTAAAAATCATTCAAGAACTTGACCGCAACGGTGTATCGAAGACAGAAATTGTGAAGAAGTTCAATATTCCCAAGTCCACACTGTTGAGGATACTCAAGAACAAAGGGAAAATTGAAGAAGCTGCAAAGCTTGGGAACTTCGCCACGGACAGGTTGCGGGCGAGAACGGCTCCGTACAAAGAAATGGAAGATGCTCTTTTTCTTTGATTCAAGTGTGCGCGCAGTGCAAAATTCCCGATCAGCAGCCCCGTTTTCGAAGAGAAGGCCAAAGAGATTGCTACTCGCATGGGGATCGAGCACTTGCGGGTGAGCGATGGCTGTCTGAGCTGTTTTAAAAAGCAGTGTAGCCTTGTCTTTAAGATAGTTTTTGGAGAAAGTGTGGCTGTAAACAGAGATATCTGTAAGCAATATTAGCAACATTTTTCTTTCTAACCAACTGTATAAGTATTGTATACTTTAAAATGTTTTTGTTCAGTCAGCCACAGTTGGTGCTTTTGAAATAGTCCTATTTCATTCATTTTGTTGGCCTTGCTTAAATGAAACTTCTCATAAACGGAACAAATTGTCTTGCCATATGAGTTTCGTTTAAGAGGAGTCCACTGTATATCGAATTTTGGGCTATGTCGAACTCTCAAGTTATCCCCTTGAAGTTCTTTTGTAAAAGTATAGAAGTTCGCACATTTATATCGAACGGTATTAAATGGTATAATGAACTTATTGATGCAGTTTATATGTGTTTTTCATATCAGCAGAGTGAACATGGTTTTGTTATATTCAAACATCAGAAAACCTTGTTTGTTCATTAACCTGTACGACATATTCAGACTGCCAGATTGTCAATTGATTGCACATTGTGCTCAAATATAGAGTAATTCATTGTAGCCAGAAGTTCCTCCTACCTTCTTTTCACAGCAGTGCTTTTATGGTCAGGGTTATCTATCTGTCACAAATAAAAAAATTATCAACATCGTGAACCAGCACACTGTACAGATGGTTAACAAGAGAGGCCGAAACGTGCAGCTTCTAATGGGTAGTACACATGTTCCCTTAATTTTTAGCAGATTGGTGGGGTGAGAGTGGGATTTTTCCCATTTCGGTAGCACATGCTATTAGCCCCGAGAACGAACACTGGAGTCTCTGCAGTCGAAACAAATGACATCACGGCACGGACTCGCCTGGTCCGCCTTGATATCGACAGTTGCTTCTTTTCGAGCCCGCCGTGTACCCGCTCTTCAGCGATACAGTGGTCATTTCTTCTCAATTTCACATAGTAGATTACTAAAAGTACAAAGTAAAGGTATTTATTGCTGTTAAAATTCAAGTAAGCTGAATAAACTATGGGTCCACTTTGAAAATGAAGGTGCAGGACAGCGAGACATTAGTTGTTTTCACCATGCACGTACTCGACGGAATCGATGCTAAGAAAATATTCGTGCTAAATAGGTTCGACTTCATAATAACTTCGTGTAGACTACGCGATTAAACATTTGTGTCCAAGTATAAAAAATGAAATTTTCAGTTTTCTCACAGTCTTGCGATTTACCGTGCAAGTTATGCCTGCCTCTGCAAATAAAGTAGCTCATTAGACAGAATTCCGCTTTGAGATGTTGGAGACTTTAGATGGATCTGTTTTTCATACACACTCACTTATGATAGTGAGAAAAAAGTAACGCTGCAAACCACAGAATGGTTTCCAGAATTCTGAGAAGTTGGTATACTCGGATCTCATGTACAGATTTCTTCTCAACAGTCGTCAGGATTACGTAGTCGCATACCCTGATTTACGCAAACAGCCGACTTGATCAACCATCAGGTCATAAACGGTAATGTTCACTTCAGGTTGGAGCACTGCTGATAGCAATCGTTTGCAAAACAAACGCCACAAGGTCTTAATGAACTGTTTCGATGGCGCATGCCGCTTTGTGGCCCATGTGATAATGAAATGCCCTTTGCCTCAGTGAAGCAACGATTGGCCTCTCACGTCATGTTCATATACAGATTAATACTGTTCTGGAGTAATCAACTATGGGAAAAATTTATTCATCAGGTGGCTATCTAAGCTTGTACTTACAAGCCTGACAGCACAGTTGCTAAGATGTTTCACGTAAACACTAACTGAAATCAGTACCAGTTTCTGCAATTAACCGCAACTTGTTTTTCTATGAAACAGAGTGCCAAAATTACTCTGATAAACATGAAGCTAAATAACGAGGTGAAATATGAGCAACCAGACGCAAGAAAATATAACGCAACAGCTGCGGCGGTATTCTCGGGCGAGCGCATTTGAGATATTTTGCGACACTCGATACTAACTTGAGCACGCCGATGCGTCCCCATACCCCGATGTGTCCCGAAGTACCCCAATGCGTCCGATACAGATACCAATTATGGGGGCGAAACAATCGCATCTTTTTAAAGGAATCGCCTGTGAACAATGCAACCTGTAATGCAAGCACGCTGTCGAATACCTTTCAGAAGTGCTATATGATTGTGAGGCACACTGCAGAGTAATTGTGGTCACGTTACATTTTATAACCTGCTACAGCTGCATTGTCTCGCTGTTCACCCCTGTCGGAGTGTGGCTACCGTGGCTAAGAATCGAACCCATTGATGCATGGATTGATATGGCTGTACCCTTTAGATCGGGCGGCAGCTTACGCCACATAGCCGTAATGCTTAGTGAACAAAAACTAGATTTATCTTTTTTTTTTAAATAGTGAAGTTAAGGACTGGCACTTTGCAAGTGAAGGATTTAATTTTCATTCGTGCCTTGATTGTAGCCACCAATCAGATAAATTCCTTCTAGTTATTTCTACCTGCTTAAAGTCTATTTTGCCCTCCCTGTCCCTAAACCCCAGTGCTTTGAAAAGTTCTGCGCCATCATTATGGGTAAAGTTCATAAAGGGCCACTTAGCAGGTTTGACAATTTTGAGCTGACAAGCGCAATGCGTAGATGAGGTGTTCATGATCACGTCTGCCAAAATTTGCAATGCTATGCGCTGCAGAAATGGGTCAAATTTCAATATGAATGCTGCTCCACCTTCTTTTTGAGGGCACACGCCCAGAAAATGAGGGCATGACGTGCACGTATGAGTGGCCCTACGTACACAGCAATGCAGTGATTTTGGTCTTCTACGTAGATGACTATACTGACATTGCCAACAATGGCGCATGACATGGCAAAAATTATTCAACACGACATGCGTAGTTTATGTATTTGTTTCTTGAAGAGATTAATAGATCGCTAAATAAATAATGAGACGAAATAAGGGAATGTAAGCATTTTTTTTTTTTTTCATTTTTCACCTGTGAATCGCAACGAGATGCAAGGCTAATGTGTCAACGTTTGTGAAAGCCAAGCCAAGACCAGCTACGGTACAGCAGCTCTGTTGTGACCCAGCCTTGAGTGACTTGGTGAAGGCTGCACCTCTTCTTTTTTGTGTGTGTGTGATAAGAGCTGCAAGCATTGTTATATGGCTCTTATACTCGGAATGTAAATGGGCTGCAAGGAGGATGCATTTGTTCTTGCTATGAGTGTCACACGTGCACACTCGTTTTGTACAGACCTCCGGACGGCTACAACCAGGAGACTCTGCGTTGCCTAGCCTCCGAGGACCCTCTGTGCCAGGCCCCCAACCGACCTCTGCCTCCTACACCGGACGAAGAGGAAGGTCGCAACGATGCCACGCTTGTTATGCGCAGGGTTGGCTCTCCTTTCTCTTTTCTCTCACTTGTGTAGCCCGTGGCCAACTTCTCTTTCTGGTTCGGTCACAGGCTGTGACCGCGTCTAATCTCGGAAGTCCTCGCATGTTCTTTTGGTGTCACTTACCCTCTACGATTTCTGGTCCTCTTTGGTTGCCTTATGTGCAGCACCTTGACACAAGTACCAGAAATATTTTGTGTTTTTGTGTTCATTCTCTTTTTGTTCACTTCTGTTGATGTGTACTATGAAGAGTTAGCAAGTGTCTAGTTATCGCTGCCATGGCGTGCAGCGTGACTGATTTATTTTGCTAGCTCACCATCTTTGCACAAGTTCTCTGCTTTAAAAACGGTAAAAAAACAAGACATTGTAATTCTTATGTGATGTGACATTGCATTTAATTTTGGTGGGCGAATCAAGCAGCAAAGAAGCATGGGTTCTGTTGGCTGTGAATTCATGCTATCTTTTTCTGCTTGATTCTTTTCATCAGTATAATGTAACAAATATGTCGAATAAGGATCTCCCAAGCCAATGTGACATCACACCTGTATTCAAAGTTGTCACTTCTGTTGAGGATATGTCAACCAGCAATTTTTTTTAGCCACTCTGCACATTGGGTTGGGGCACCAGTGCACTGCCGTGTGACCCTCGCTGCTCGCAGGCTACTGAAGCACTGATGCAGCATGCAAAAGCTTTATAAACTCCAAAGCAGAATCTATAGTTCCCTGAGTCGGAGTTGTGTAAGTTAATAGTGTAACTGAAATCTCAAAGCAATCACAGTCATTCTGGCCATCTGCTGAACCCTGAATCTCTTCATGTAATGGGTTCCAGTTTGACTTTAACCTGTTGTCTAAATTACTGCCTAGTGCTACCGAGGTAGGAAACCTCTGTGCAAATTTGATAGCACATGTGAACTATTTTGGCTGCCTCCACGTTTCAGTTTGACCTTGTCGCATTGCTAGTGAGCAACTTTGCTATAGGTTTTAAAATTAAATTCCAATTGCGTAAACTGAGAAGTTGAATGCTAGGCGCAACCTTACAGATACCAAGCAACAGCAGCGGCAGCAATGAACAGAGGCATTCATCATCTGCCGGAAAAAATGATCACGGTAAGGTGCCCACAACCAGCAGCGCAGTAGCAGCCCCCAGCGCCGGTAGCCGGCGATCTGAAGAGCACCCACGACGGTCCAGTCACTCCCAGCAACAGCAGCAGCATCGACCCAAAGAACGACCACGAGAGAGCAAAGGTCGCCGGAAAGAGTCATCTGCATCAGCGACTACTGCGGCTGAAGTGGCCGGCCGACAAGAATCGCGTCGTCCCACCGAGCGGAAGCATTCGCAGCAACTTCCAGACCGCACGGATCGCAACCCAGCGGCAGTCGCCGAGTGGCTCATGAAGCACTCTGGATCGCCAGCAGTCAGGTCATCGCTCAACTCCTCCTCTGGCGCAACCAGTGCTGAAAGGCAGTCACGACGTGAGGCAGCAGATTCTGCAAATTCAAGTGGTGACGCTGCCCTCTTGCGAGAGGAGACAAGTAGTAAGGTCAGTGAGGAAATGCAGGAGGGCCCATTGTTTTGGCTCATTGCCTGCTATTTCAACCAGCTGTAACTCATCTTAAGCCACCATAAATCAAACTGCAGGCTAGTTATCATTTAAGTGGCTGTTTATCTGTGTGTATGAGCACGCGTGATAATGTCAGTGAAAAACGGAGCCCTCCTCCTGCATTGGGACAGTATCTTTTGTTGTGGAAAGGAAGATGCTTTCCATTTTTCGTTATTGAGCTTTCATTTTGGATTTTAGAATTGAGAGGCACATTTGCTTCGAAGACAAATGCATTCAGGGTCGGAAAGATAACCTGACGGACCATTCATTAATTTTATTGTGTTCTGCCAGATTTCTCGCATCACCTGCCATTGCCAATGATGTACTTCAGTGAAACGAAAATAATCGCCTAGAATTCGGTGGGTAGAACTTGGGTTGCTCTCATGATTCTAGAAAGCAATACACAAGGTCTTTAGAGTTTCAGAGCCTTGAAGCATCAGAGCATCTGTTGTGTGATTTAAAACACAGCCTAGTGATCGGCCCTATGACAGGCAGTGGCTCAAGGGGGGAGGGGGGGAAGGGCTCATGTTTCATTAATGATCTAGTACAGGGCCACCACATGCCTACTAGCACATTGCTGCTTGTCAGCGAAAGTACATTACTAGTCTCCAAGGTTACTCGACAATTTTGGGTTTCAATCTTTGTGTCCTTGAGATTTTGTCCTGTCTCATTGATTGTGCTTTTTGTGCTGAAGTACTTGTATTACATGCCATATTCGTAGCTGTATGTGTCTCCCCTCCCCTTCTCTTCTCACTTGCCTCCTCTACTAACACTTTCTTTCTCTGGCTAACATTGCTTTCTCTTGGCTACTAACCACACTTCCATTCTTCATCAAGGTCTTCTGTCCAGTGAGCTCCGTCTCTTCTCTGAATTATCCTTCTCATTTTGCATGGCCCCTTTGCGATCATTTGGCGTGAGTGTGCCTGCTTGTCTTTTGCAGTTTCAGCCAATGTGCGGCAGCGTCCTACTGATGTCGCGCCAGCGAGGCGTGTGCTTAGTATGTGCTTTATTGTTTATTGCGATTAACAGAGCGTTTGAGTATTTAAAAAAACATCATACTCAATAGTGGATACTCGGAAAGTGTCGTTTCGGAAACTTTTGCAATATCTGTTTCAGGGTAAAGACGATCGAATAAAAATGGTTTTCATTGCATTTCTGCGAGCAAGCAGGCAATATTGATGCTCTTTTTAGGGAAATATGTGTAATTGAAGTTCTACAAGCACTTCCAGATAACTAAAATGGCACTTGCATAAAAATAGTTGAACAATAACTACCTATATCTAAGAGAAGCACACAGTATTACCCACACAGTAGAATTGTGTTGATAAGTCTTTTAAATAACTGTAGGAAATCAACGTAAGATCGAGGAAACATAACTGAAAAAAATAACAAAAAATATTTAGTGGTGCAGAATTAAATTTCAATACTTACGCTTGGAAAACAAATGTGTTAAAGGTGCCCTAAACACTTTTTTTGAGTAACCATGGAATGAATTCACTGGAAAAGCGTAATGCCTCACAAATTAAATGCTACAAAAATTTTGAGAATTCGTCCGGTGCAAGCGGAGTTACCAAGATTTATCACACGCTGCAATAACCTTCTCTCTTCTCTCGTCCAGACGAAAGCACTGCAAATTAAGCAGGGAGGAATGTGAGGGGCGAAAAAAAAAAAAAAAAGTCACTCTCATATCGTGACGTTGAGCTTTTTCTTTACTTTTTTTCTTCGAATAGACGGCTTTTTCGGTGCGATCGCGCACACACGCGTGGACAAGTAACAGCCTCTCGCGGCGACCTCTGTAACAACCGAGCGCGCCATGTTCAGATCGGTCAATGGCTGATAGATGGGCTTGCTGGTCTTAATTCTGTGATTTGTCGAGAGAAGAGAAAGCTATTTTTAGCTGACTATGCTAATTTATTGTGAATTCCAAACCCCGTGTTGCACTATAATATTTGGCTCGCATGTTGTCGGGAGCCTCTACTATTGATCGGCAGCGTTTTCTGACCATGCTCAAAAAGTGTGGCAGGGCCCCTTTAAGTTGCTCAGTGCAGTTATCGCACCCGATCAGCATGGAAAGTTTTTCGGGCACATGTAGTGTCACATACTTCAATAAATCTGGTGCCATCATGGCTAACACAGAGCAAGCGATCATTTTTGGTGATGCCCTCTCGAAATTGTCAGTGGATGCATCGGCATCTCCAAGGGGTAATTGTAGGGAACTTTTGGCAGAGTGTCGGGTCACCATAGCTTGCAGCAGACGTTAAAACGATTTGCGAAAGAAAAAGTACTTGCGAAAGCGATTGTCAAAAAAAATTACCCCTGCTCCACCAACTGCTAACTTCATCACTAACGCAGTCAGCCACAATATACAGTTAAACCTGCTTATAATGAACCTGGCGCGAAGGCATACCGTGGAGCCACCATGCGGAGGCATCCCTGTGACGTCTGTGGTTGGACTGCTTTGCCGCCGTCTCACGCGCAACCAGCAGCCGCTTTCGCGTGTCCTTTTTATTATTATTATTATTATTATTATTGTACTTGAAAAAATCATTAAAATACTGCTGCAGCTTGTTCCCTCACTGTACGAAGTGGTAAATAACTGCCCAGGAATAGTGTTACGCTTTTCACAATGCCTGACTGCCGGCGTCGTCTGCTGTGACCACCTAAATGAAAAAACCAGGGCGGCCGAGCGCGCTGCCTCTGTAAAAGGTGACTCATTGTGTGTCAATGGATATTAACGGTAAAGAAACTAGCTGTGAGAAGTGCGCGCAATCACGCTACTTTGTTCATTGTAGGTTTGTATCTAAAGACAGGCTGCAGTTGACATGACAAGCATGCACAAATTACATTTATGTTTAGCACACATAACCCTACAAAGCACAAAGCAACCGTATTCCCCGCTATGCGGGAAGCAACACAGCATTCCGAGTCTGACAGCCGCATGCAGCCGCAACTTTACTGTTATGATTGCGGGCAAACGTGAGAATCGCGCGCATGCATGGTACACTCAGAGCCGTTATTCTTCTCTGTGGCACGCTCCTTATATTTATTGCGCAAAATTTCTACGGTGGTCACACGTTGCACATTCTATCGCCATTTAGCCACATATAGGTGAAAATTGTGAATGATTGGTTCAGTTGCAGTGCTTCTAGTGAAGGGATAAATCATGATTTAAAAATTGCGATCAGCCAGCCGTATAATTTTACGCCCTTGAGCATGCTGCGAGGTCCTGCGTACAGTGATCTAAATGGCAATTTCATGTTTCAGTAAAATTGCCTTTGTCCAGGGATTTTTTTTTTTTTTTTTTTTTGCAGTTTCATTCATAAGCTGTGTGATATTTCACAGCAGCTCTTCGAAGACAAATACGTTTTCAAAGCTGACCACGTTTTCGCCTGCAGATCAAAACATTACGAGGAAGTGACAGTGGCTATGGGCCTAGTCTACAGACATAAGCTATGAGCAAGAAAACCCGTGAGCTACATATGGAGGACACTTTACAGAATAGTTTTCCCGCTGTTACAGGGTTATAGGGTTGGAACCAAGGTTACAGGGTTACAGGGTTGGAACATCGGTCTAAGCTGGTTTCAAATTTTCGCGCGGACTCGCCCTCTTCTCCCTTCCATGAAGGGAAAGGTGTAGCCCATCACCGTGACTCCGCCCACTTCGGCAACGTGACACCACGTCAGCAATTGACGATATCGGCGAACTCGATCAGTCACAACGCACTTCCGCTTGCTGCGTTTGCCGAACCAGCCGCAGGTCAACCGTGTAAGTGTCAGGTGCGAAGTGTCGACCGCAAACGATCAGGTCCCCTACATACGTCGCTGGATGGCCGATTCGCTTCAGCCATGCAGCGCGCAGGGCACTATATCGTGAGGCTCCCGGTGCTGATGCTTCTCCACTGCCCAGTCCCTCGATTTGCAGCCGACGACAGAGCAATGCTTTTTACCCGTGTTGCTCATGTCAAGGGCGAAGTACGTTCACACAGGCACTGTAGTTGAGCAAGGAGTGTACACGTGCACGCGACAACTGCGAGGCTGGTTCTTTCACCGCAGTGCCAAGAAACAAGGGGCAGTGTCGTAGCTGTGGGTAGGAACAGGAACTGATGTTGACTTCAGTACTGTTTTTTCACACCTGATTTAGGCCAATCGGCGAGCTTCTTCGGCAAGCTGCGTGCTACGTCACGTCGCCGATTGCCGTGTTGACAGTCACTGCGCGTGCAAGGGGGTCGATCAGGCATTGGAAAGATGCGCGGGAATTGTTTTTCAAAATAGAGGCTCTGCGTGGCGCGCAGCACTGTGATGTTCAGAAAACATAATCGCTGCGGTCTAATCTACAAATTGCCGAGCTTGTATGGGGGGGGTGTTAAAAAAAAAGTCTGAGCCTGTTTACTGGCCCTTTAAAATGAAGGTGCATTGTTGCTATTCGAGCACCACCCCCCACTCCCCGCATTTTCTTGTGCTTGTTCAAGATGCATGGTTTTCTTTCTGTTTCAGCTTTCGACGGTGGTTATAAAATTCGGGGTGTATTGAATGCGTCATCCAGGCAGTGGAGATGGGCTGGCTCGATTGGTCTCTGCTTCAGCAGGGCTGGCATGCTTTTACCCGCTCGTAAAAAACGCAATGCACATGGGCGTGTTCTCAATTTTTTACTTGTTACGAAATATGGCAGCAATAACAAGAACCCACCGAGCGTGCCCTCGAAATGGCTATCAAAATAATAAGGCAGTTTTTTACCGCCAAATAAGTTTTTTGCTAGCTGTGCCTTCAGTTTTCCTTTTGTTCAATTTGTGTGTCTATTTTTTTAATTTTCGTACCGAAACTGCATATAACAAAGACCTCTTTATATCGATTTTTTCCGGGAGTTTGTCAATTTCATTATAGCCAGGTTTAACTGTAGTAAACAAATGGAACCATGCAGCTGATATCGGCGTCATCCTTAGAAATGCAATCAGCATATGCGATTATTTTGGCAGCAACAGTTGTAAGCATGAAAGAACTATGCACAAGCAACAGAAACAGTGCAACAAGTTGAACCGTGAACTGCACGAACGCTTCCAACAAATAACGATGATGATGATGAGTCCACACTAATGCAACAGAAGAAACAAACGCCAATCTCAAAAGCATTTCTTTCGCCAAAAGTCTAAAACAAATTGAGTCTTAGATGGCATCTTTGCAGTACAAATCTCGAAGGCTATGCTTGTGTTTGCGAAAACCGAAAGTATGCTATGCATTTTCCTTGTGCCACTCGTGCGACTAATTTTATGGTCAAGCCAGGCCAAGCTACATGAAAAGCCAACATAGCCGCTCTTCTTCCCATGATCGCTCGGTTGGCTCAGAGTGTACTTCGCAACGGATCAGCAGGGTTATAGTAGATTCTATGGGAGTTATGTCGGGAATGGCACAAAATTGTGTGACATCCGTGTAAACACAACAGTAAGGAACGTAACAGCAACGTTCTACTGTATACCCGCTGCGGTGGTCTAGTGGCTAAGGTACTTCGCTGCTGACCCGAAGGTTGCGGTATCGAATCCCAGCTGTGGCGGCTGCATTTCCGTTGGAGGCGGAAAGGCTGTAGGCCCGTGGGCTAAGATTTGGGTGCACGTTAAAAAACCCAGGTGGTTGAAATTTCCGGAACCCTCCACTACAGCGTCTCTCATAATCATATGGTGGTTTTGGGACATTAGAACCCACATATCAATCAAGGTTCTATTGTATTCATAGGCATTCAACGAATTAAATTATGCAATGAAAAAAACTGATGTTCTAAGAACAAATGCCTTGATTATAAGACTTCCCTTTTGCTTTGTGTTGTCTGAGTATCCATTGTTAATATGATGATGCAAATAATAGCTGAGCATATTTGGTGCCTAAAAGATGCTGTGGCTGGTATGCTGTACAATAATTGTACCCGGATGCTTGGCCTGTAGTAAGCATTGCAAGTGCATGTGCATCAGCATTTTATACGTGTGGGGCTTAATGCACGAATTCCTGCATTGTTGAAGACTTATATCTCATTGTGTATAGCTTCCATTGCACTTCTCTAAGTTATATAACTGAGCATGTTTGCAGCCTTGCAATATTTACAGGCAACTGGGTGCTCAGGGTTTCTGCATTTGGGGTGTGTAGGGCAACCATGATGACCGACTGGGACGGTCAGACCTGTCCCAGAGTTCGTCGGGAAACCTGTCCAATGCTCGGTCGAGTGGCGAGCTTCCAGATTTGCTGCCACGTCATGCACAGCAGCGCCAACAGGACAAGTCAACATCTGACGAGGTATGCAGTAATTTTGTTAATACTGAAACTGAAATAGTTATAAGAACATGCTTGTGAACATCACCTTATGAGCACTTGTGCCACTATTTTCATCAGTAGCACCACTTGCATCAGTGAGCTCTCCTGTATAGTGTTCAATGTTCATGGCGCCCTACTTCTGTTCAAAATATTCAATTGCAAACACCTTTGTGCCCGATAGAAGCAATAATGTGGATGGTGCTCTTTCTCGACTTCAGTCTTGAAATATTCGTTGGTCAATGTATTACACAGTTGTTTTTGACAAAAAGTGAGAGGCCCCTCCCCCCCCCCCCTCTTTTTTCGGTTTTGTAACAGTTGCAGTAAAAGAGGGGAAATGTATGTTCAAAGCATGTGGGGCAAAAATTAAAACTGCTTGGGTAAACAGGATTTTAACCAGCATGCAGTAGAATTCTTTTTAGGCATATAAAACTGCAGGGAGAGTTGCAGCTACACTGGATGACAACTAATCTTGACCAATTGGAGCGAAGGCTATGGAGGCAGGGTTCGCACACAGACATGTAGCTCCACAAGTAGTATGGCAGCTTGCAGCTGATTTCGGTGTTGCTCACTCGCATCGTTAACACATTTGGAAAATTATATACACGAGAAAAAGAGATTGGAATAAACATTTTCATTGCCTAGTGTAAAGTTTAGCATCATGTTATCAGTATATGTTCCGTGGAGCACTAAACTACACGTTTGCAGACGCACACTGAACCACTGTCATGGACACAATGTTTACCTTGGAAAAACGGGCACGCTGAAAAGACGGCGCTAAGAAAGAAAAGGGAAAGGAAGGCACTCTTGTAAATTGAATAACACTACTTTACCTGAGCTTTCTTGCAACTAGTCTAGCCTCATAATAAATAAAGCAGCATTTATTTCAGCAAGTCCAATGAGAAAATTATATGTAATCATAATTGCGGGCATGCGCTTCAATTCAGTACTTCCACAGTGCTGTTAAAAATAGTTGTCGCCGAGTATAACTATAGATCAGTTGATGCTAGTCTACTATTTCGGTGTTTGTCATGGACGCAAGTGTTCACATTTTAACTTTCTGGGAACATTTGATCTGTGGGAGCTATGTTTTCCAGCCTTCAGCCTGTTTTCCTAGTCACCTTTGGTGTTAGTTCTATTTAGGCTGAAGTAGGCCCGTAGCAGCATTAGCACTGTTGAAAGCTTTGTTTTAGTGAACTATATTTGAGTTGCAGCACGACCCTTATGGCATAGCACCAAAATGTGATGGCACGATGCTTTGGGCTTGGATAAATAGATTTTTGTGATGGCCCAGTAATTTGTTCGTTGCACTTCTGCTTTTTTGCATGGTTGTTGAATGAAAATGCTTGCTAAAAATCTTTTTTCATGTGACTTTAGAGCATTTGCGACAGAACCCCACCAGCTAGGTGTTGTATGAAGGAATTTAATATTGTGCTGAATTGTGACATCAACAAAAGCATTGGAAGGTTTAATTGTTTATTTGTTGTGTGTTTGGAGACAATATATGTTGATGGGAACCGAGCAAAGGAAACTCTTATGAATCAGCTTAGAAAGACAGCCGAGTAAGGAGTGTCTGTTTTAAACCTTCTATACATTGGTAATAACAGGCAGCTGTTGTGATAGCATGGCAGCATGTCTCATACTTGCTCACTATCAGCACTCCTAATTGGTATTGCCACTTGCTATGGCTGCAAGTGTGTGGTGTAGAAGGTAAATCTACAGCTACCGACACTGTCCACAAGTTTTCTAGATGGCTCGTCGTACACCCCAATGCAACGCCACGTGTTGCTCTAATGCTGCCCAGTAATGCTTCTTTTTGTTGTCATTAATGCATGTTTGAGATGAAAGAGCCGAGATCACTGGACAATGCAGCAGGGCAACAATTATCTTGCAGATCAATGCACAACACACAATAGCCCATGCTTTGGTTCACAATTAAGCCTCTCGTCTCAACCTTATAGGGTGAAGTGTAGCAGCTGTCTGTGGACTTGAGATGGTGCTCCTGAATGCTACTCTAAAGCAAATCATAAAGCAAGCACCTACTTGAGAAACATCTTTTTTCTGCAGTACATTTGTGCATTTGAGTGTTCTTAGCTATGAAGATGCAGCTCAAGAATCCTTGAATGAGCTTGTTGAATAGCAGTTGACCAACTGAACACATTTTATGACTTATTTGCATGTATTTTAAATTTTATCTCACAACGAATGATGCTGACTCCGTAATTTCTACGAAACAAGCTCTTTAGTGTTGTCGCATTAATAGGGGTTAGCACTTTGCACATGTCATGATTACTATTCGTCACATGCACTTTTTAATCTTATACTGACAACCTCATTGCTGTCTCGCACGGGAAGAATATGAAAGGATTTAAGGGTTGCTGAGGTGTGATTATAAATCTGAATGGTGAATAACTTTAACTTAAAGTAATAGTGCTTTGATCTGGGAGGACTGCAGCTCAGACATTTACATGCCCGTGCTGACGCTCACAAATAGTGTGCCCTGAGCATTTTCTTTTTAATAGGCCCACTTCGGCAAAGGCTGTAATGCACTTTGCGCTCTCCTAGGAGGTGTTGGCCTTCGTTGTGCCTTCTTTTATCGGTTGTGGCTGGACTATGTGCAGGTTTTGGGTTTTGCGCGCTGTTGTGTGCATGGCATTCCTTTCCACTGGTGTCTGCCTGCATGTGTACCTAAGGCCTGGCCACCTTGTGTGTGCGTCCCGTCTTCTTTTTTTATTTCTCCTTCCCCTCCCCTTTCTTTATTTTTCCCTCCCACCTCCCGTAGTACCGACAGGCTCTTAACCCACCGGCTCCACCTCAGTTGCAGTTGCAACAGAAGCAACGCTCCTTCCTGGCATTTGGCTTTAGTGCGGGTGGGGGCAGCACAACAGGGGGTGGGGGCCCCCCAGCCCCATCTCCTCGACGGGAGTCCCACGTCAATGTCAACGTCACACCCACCTCGCATGAGGCAGTGAGCACCACCCCGGAGATCCGCAAGTACAAGAAACGCTTCTACTCGGAAATCCTCTGTGCAGCTCTCTGGGGTACGTCACATCTTCCGCCTTGTGTCCCTCCTTTGCTAAGGTGCACTGCAGTATCTGGCAGAAAAGAGATGAGACAAAAAAAAAAAACATTGATGCCAAAGTGATACCTTGCTTGGAAATAAACTTGTTAACTTGTTTCAACTGGAGGAAATGTGCAGCCTGCAAAACTGACGTCAGCAGCATTGTTAAACGTTCTTGTTTCACCTGTTTTCATTCTTATTACGTGTCTAGCCTTTACATGAAGTTACATGAAGAAACTATGACTTTCATTTATGCAGTAATACATTCTTTTCCATTGAAGGAATTCATATAATGGTGTTGCCGTCTCTATAATATAGACAGTACGAACTGTGGGGTCATATATGGAAATGGCCAATAGTTCTTTCATGCACACATATCATGTTCACTGCTATCGTTAGGTCATAACTGTGTGCAAACGTGTTTTGCCAATTGTGCGTATGTTGCAGTATTGCTCTAGCCACAGTTTCTTTGCAAATAAACTAAATGTAGAATACTCGACTACCACTAATAGTGCAGGCAGACAACTACATCGCCAAATAATGCTGCAGCTGTGATTTCATAGCAGCTTTTGCTGTAAAGAAAAAAATAACTAATGTGGACGTAAAGCCCATTTCAGTGACAAGTTTTGCCCCTCCTCTTTCTGTAAGCAGTTGACAATGCTAAAGGTGAAATGATTCTCAAGAGTGGTTATTCTTGACTCTTCCCCCCCCCCCCCTCCCCATATGAATCTTTTACCCAGTAAATTATTAATCTCATCTCGTTTTTCACTTCTTTCAATTCAGGGGTGAATCTGCTGATTGGCACGGAGAATGGCCTGATGCTGCTGGACCGCAGTGGGCAGGGCAAGGTGTACCAGCTCATTTCGCGCCGGCGCTTTCAGCAAATGGAGGTGCTCGAAGGCCAGAATATCTTGGTCACCATCTCGGGCAAGAAACAGCGTGTGCGCGTCTACTATCTTTCCTGGCTCAAAAGCAAGATCCTGCGCACCGATGCGGTCAGTCTGCCTTCTCCTGAATTGGAGGAAGCTCCCTTTAAAACTAGCCTCATGGTCAAAGCACTGCAAGTCATGCGAGTTGTGGAAGCATGCTTTAGCAAGCTTATGTGTAAAAATTTACCATACATACGATTCAACTGCAGCATTTCTTTGTTGCTACCAGGAATTACGTCCAGATAACTGTGTAATGAGTTTTTCCACATATGCCATCATTGTTGACTCCTTGGAAGTCTGAATCTCGTGCTCTACTGTGACGAATTCTGTTCAGCACGTTTGCACTTCTAGCCCAGTAAGAACACTTGCAAGGGTCTTGCAAATATTCAACAGCTACATATGAACTCGGCAGACAGCTGGTGCTTCTCATCACTTGTATGAGAAGTTATGAGAATTTACTCGGCAAAAGGGGAGGCTACACTTGATGGGCAAGGTTCTTGTTTATGTATAGATCTGAACGAAATTTTCACAGTTTGTGTATTTATATGTGCATATTGTAAAAATATAATCACTTTTTTGATAGGTCACGTAGTTTCCAAGATACACCACAATCAATATATAACCTAGGTCCTTTGTTTGGAGACTAATTAGCATCTAAGCAGAAAGCACCAAAACATTGGCGACATTGTATAAACAATGTAGAATGTTTAAGGAGTGTAATGTGCTATAAATCAATTTGCTGGGCCAATTTCAACAAGAGTTAGAGGACATCAATGCTCACAAAGAAAAAAGCCACCTTCACCGTTCATGCGTATGACCCAATTAAAAATTTTCTGTATATTGCCTTCAAAATAGGCATATTGCATACTGCATGCATTTATCTTTCTGGCAAAAAAAAAAATTATGCTGATAGCTCAAATGGAACAGAAGTTATTTCCCTTCAACTTGGCAAATTTGCCAAAATTGCTGTTTTGAGAAAACGAGAAAAAATGTTTCGAAACATCTTTATTGAACAAATACTAATAAAATCTTATTAAAATGCATCAGGGGCATAATCTGGATGCATCCCATCCTTATGCTTCTTCTTGATCAGCTTTTGCAGACTTTGGGACGCTTCTCTATTTAATTGAGGTTGCACTCTGATGACAGTCCTTCTCCCTAGCCCTCGGGAATCTGCTGCTGAATATTGTGATGTCCAGCTGCTCTAGAATCGCAGCAAATGCATCGACGTTGCCAATGTTCAAGCACAGTACAGCTTTTGCTACAGTAGCTTGCACAGCAAAAAGAGCAGCATTGCTGCTCCTTTAATACCAAACTCCAAATGACAGATTGGAGGATTTCTTGTGAATTCCGAGTCTTGCCTTGCTGGCATCTTGCCTCGCTGCCGCACCAAAAATGGCTCAAATGACTCCAAAAATGGCTCAATTTTTCGCGCTGTTGCCAACATCGATGAAAGACCCTCAAGCGTCATGGTTGTCTCGCGGGTGTGCGCGTCGCGAACTTCACTGGCATCGATCACATCAGTGTCTAACTGCACACGGCCGGAGTCGACATCGTGGGCGCTGTCAGGAAGGCCCGTGTCTACGCACACTTCACTGTTGCCAATAGCATTGGCGCGATCATAATCCACAGAGCGTCCGTTATTCGGGGAAGCCGTCTGGGCTCACTCCTGTATTAATAACATCTTCAGTACACGTGCGGCCAGCGTCCACGCCGCGCACGCACGAGAAACCAGGGTTCGTAGCGGTCCTTGAAACCCTTGAAAACCCTTGAATTGCGAAATGACATTTTCAAGGCCTTGGAGACCCTTAAATTTGTTTGAGGTCCTTAAAGGTCCTTGAATTTCGCCAATGGAGGTTCATTCAGCTGTAATTTGGTGGATTTTTTGTGCACCTGGCGACTATGTGCTCTTAAAGCGAACAAACTATCCAATCCGGTCTGTTTCTCCAGCCATATCAAAATGTTGTGGTAGCTCTCGTGTGGTTACAGTAGCAACGACGGAACAAAGCCTTGCTTTTTAGTAAAGACTGTGAAAGTGTGCACGCATTTTTGCAGTAATGTCGCTTATGGTGGAACTATGCCAGGCAAGTGCAAATCCCAGCAGTCTTGGTTATGCATTGCTGTTTATAGGGAGTGAATTGCACCAGATAGGTCAAACTCGCATTGGGCAAAGTGTAAGCTATGTGGGAAGAGCTTCGACGTGTCATCAATGGGGGAGTCTGCCCTTAAAAGTCACATGAAGAGTGTGAAACACATTTATAACACAAAAGCGACTACAGTCCATGGTAACTTGAGTGCGTTCGTGGTGCCAACAGTCATTCAGCAAAGTGCAGAGCCAGGTCCATCGTCCTGCCATGTGTGCAGCATCTGCCAAGTGCACGAGTGTGTGACCGACGTGGAGATACTGTGGACCGTGAAGATGGTGACGTCCCACTATTTTTTACAAGTCTCCCACCCAGGGAGACTTGTTCAGGAGAATGTTCCAGGATAGCAGCATCGCTAAGGCATTCTCATGTGGGGAGAAGTCCGCGTATGTTTTGTGTCATGTTCCAAGGCCATTTGTTCTCTCCAGCTTGAAATATTAAGTGGGCAGACAGATGGGTACACTATTCTTTTCGACGAGTCCTTGACCGACTACTTACGAAAGAAACAGATGAACATTCACTTGCGGTTCTGGAGCACAACGCTGGAGTGAGCAAGGACGCGTTACATCACGTCTGTTTCCATGGCTGCAAAGGTGAGAGCCAAAAACGTATTTGCTTTGCAAATAGAAAGCAAACAGCTCCTTTTAGCTACAGCGAAAAAAAATTCTAGAGAAGAGCCCACTGGCAAATCAGCTGGTTAGGAGCCTGTCTTCGCTCGACCCCTGTCAAATGGCCTCAAAGCCTGATGAGTGCCTTACAAGTTTTAGGAAAGTCCTTGACGCACTCATAGCAGTTGGTTGGTTAGATGAGCATGAGCGCGATGTGGTGCTTGGTTAATACGCTGAACTCCTGCAGAAGAAAAAGCCTAACCTGCAGCAGTTTGACAAACACTCTACTAGTCTGGATCAATTTCATCTTGAGCTGCTAAAGACTGATTGCAGTTTGTTGTATATGCAACTGTGAAAGGTTGTACGACTTCTTCTAGTCTTGAGTCATGGACAAGCCTCTGTTGAAAGAGGTTTTAGCGTCAACCAACAGGTATATGTTGAAAACCTGAAGGAGATTTCACATGTGTTGAAGCGAATCATTTGTGATGCAGTAAGCGAGGCTGGTCGTGTCATGAACATTGCAATAGCAATGGAGTTGCTTAAATATGTCTCAGCTGCACATAGCTGTTATCGGGCCTACTTGGAGATGAAAAAACAAGCGAACAAGCAGGCAAAGGTATCAAAGAGAAGCCACATTGAAGAAGAAATTTTCAGTATCAAAGTGAAAAGGTGCATACTTGAAGAAACAGTTGCCAACTTGACAGCTTGCCCTGACAACTACGCTGAATGGGCAGAAGCTACAAGTGACATCTCTTTTATCGTGAAGTCCAACAGTCTGAGAAAAACAGTGAAAGAAGAGACTTTGGAACTTGCAGAAGTGAATGAGAAGTTGAAAGGAAAGCTTCATGAACATAATTTCTAGTCCACTGTCGAAAAAGGGCATTTTGTTTATGTGTGTGTGTGTGTGCAATATGTCTTAAATTGAGGGTGCAGTATGTGTTAATTTATCAAGCAAACCATAAAACAGTTTTTGAAGCCTGTGATAAACAGAAAAAATGGAGCTAATAAGTATTGTTAAATCTTTGTTAGCTAGAAAATGATTGCTCAAATGTACTTGGTTTTGCTTCTGTCAAATAAAGTACAAATTATTATGCTATAAAAAGTGTTGTCATTTTCTCAGGTTTCAAGTGTTGTTTTAGGTCCTTGAAAAGTATTTGTTAGGTCCTTGAAAGGCCTTGAATACCCTTGAATTTCGCTTCACTTAGGTGCTATGAACCCTGGAAACCACCTTCGGTTACGACGGCGTTATCAAACAACGTCGGCGCTTGCTCCCGCGACAGAGTAGCAGCACCATTGGGCTTTCTGCCTCTGCCTTTCTTCCGTGAACAGCCAAATTTATGCTGCAATCGGAACTTTTTCGCACCGCCGGGCACAGCGTGACGCACAAGCACGTTAAGGATAACGGTTACGACACATTTGCAAGGCCGATACCCTTTCAAAATGGCGACAGACACTGCCAGCGAGTTTTCCTGGCCAATCGGGCAGTGCCATTTTAGTCATGTGCGTCAAGAAACCAATAGAATCATGCCCTGCTCGAGATTTTGACTTCGCTTTTTTTGCTTTTGCGAAGTTCACATAGTTGTATACTGAAAAATAAAAAAAAGCTAGAAATGCAACCTTTCCAACAAGACCTAAATGGCTTCGGTGGAATACGTGCCGTCGGCGGTTGAAGTACGGCTAGTTTACTCTTCAATTTAAAGGTTTGCTGTGTGAAGTTGCTCTCTTTATGGGTTATAATTTGAGAAATAAGTGGAATTTCAAAGCCAAATTTTGCTGATACAGTTGATCCCGGATATATCTAACTCGAATATATAGAATCATTGGTTATATCAAACAGTTGAAAAATTTCCTTGAATTTCCCATGCAAAAATATGGGACCGGTGCACCCGTATATCAAACTCCCGTACAGTGGGACATCCGGTATATCAAACGCTGCGCCGTGCCGAAGCCCAGAAAGTGTCCGTGCCAAAGCCCAGAAAGTGTATTTTTCCTAGCAAATATTGATCCATCTTAGACCACATTCTAACCAGCTCCGATCCTTTTTCGCGCACAGGTGACAAAAAAAAATAGTGTCATTTCATCGTGCTGATCTGGTTCGTTGCGCGGCACTTGCGTGTAGATCGGTTCTTATCGTGCGGGCATAGTGTTTTCCAAAAGACCGATTGCCGAGGGCACTGAAACAGAATGCGAAGTGACTCTGTGATCTCAGTGCAATTTTCGCATGTGGTTCGAATTCCCTTTCTTGTTTGTGCGACCTTGTGAGGTATTATTTAAGTGTTTTCAGCTTCAGATTGCATGTCTTGGAGGCTACGCTTTTTTTTTTTATCGTTTTGCATTAAAGCCGCTAAAAGCAGCGGCTGTTATCTACAAAGCCACAATGACATTGATATCCCCAACATGTCGACAGTGAGAACTCCGGCGAACTCGGCGTTGCATCTTTTGAGCCTTGTGGCCTTCTCGCCTCGTTCCTGATAAATCCTCATTTGGGAGTTGAACTGAACGTTGACCTGCGCGTAGCGGTAAAAATTATGACTTGCGCTTGAAGCAGCGTCCAGTAAAACACTGTCATACACGTTCCTTGCGGGCCAGGTGATGACTACGAGTGTGTCATGGCCGCTGACAACGGTGTACGATGCCTGAGTGAATTCTGCGACTTATCAGCTCTTCAGGGCACCGTCTCGGACAATAGCGACTTCATTGGTACAGATGACAACGTTTCTGACTGCATCGATGCTGAGATTTTGGCTGCTGTTGCCGGTGCCGTGGAAGTATAGCCGTGCAGTTATGAATGCGCGAACGCCTTCGCTTCTGCTGCTAACCAAGCTTTTGCCGCAGAAAAAAGATTGCATTGGTGTTCTGCATCAATCAACATTGTAGGCGAAGGAGTTTCAATGATAGCTTCAATGATATTAAGGATGACTGGAACTTGATGGTGTGCAAGAAGTAAGACAAGTTTACGGACTAAGTCAAGTGGGGTAACCTGCGGCTCGCATCTTGTCTTTGAGCGAATCGTTATGTTAGCTCTTCTAATGATTTCTGAGACCTGAAATTCAATTTATGCCTCCAAAATGCATATTTTGTATTTCGAATTCTCGGTATATCGAACTGTTTCACGATCACCTGCGGGTTCGATATATCCGGGATCGACTGTAAGGAAGCATCGGGAACGCGAAAATTATTAAGAGGGCAAATGCGATTTTTGGGCCGATTTTCGACGTCTAAGTGCCGCATTCCCCCTTAATTAACCTACAATTGACTTGCAGATTGTTCTAATGGGGGTATAATCTTGTTTTACATGAGGTTGTGTGTGTTTTGTTTGTGACTTGGTCTTTACAACTAGCTTAACTGCCAGAAAAGACCAGCTTGTGAATTTTCAGTTGCAGTATAGCAATGCCTTAGAACTATACAATGACTCATCCTCTCCAGCGCCTTCTAGTGGGTTGCCCTCTTCAAAGCAGAGCAGCTCGTGCAGAGAGTGGGTCCTCTCGCTTTAACTGTAGCTGTTGCGCATCGTCGCCGAGTGCCCGCCAATAAACGTCTTAACAGCACATATATTCCAATTCTGCAGACATACGAAATCAGTGCTTATTAACGTACAAAGCGGGAATCTGCATCGACAGTAGTATTAAATATCATGCTTTCTTAGTTTCGTAGTTTTTAGGGCGAGGACCAACATTTCTTGTCTTTAGCAGTAGTGCTACCTCCGCAGGGTCTTTGTCCTGACACAGTGGCTCAGTTGGTTGTGGTGTTTTTCTGCCGAATACAAGTTCACGCATACAGTCTCAGTCCGCGAAGGCGCATTCTAATGAAGGTAGAATTTAAAAACACATTTACTATTCTCTTGGTAGACTGTGAGCTCTAGATGGTCAGAATTTATCACCACTCCTTCGCTACATAGCCTCTCTTACCCTGAATACGATTTGGAATGTTTCGTTCCACAGATAAATGAGTGCCTTCTTTCCGTTTTGCATTGCTTGCAGCAAGTTGAAAAGCGCAATGGCTGGATAAATGTCGGAGACCTCCATGGTGCAGTGCACTTCAAAATAGGTGAGCCCACGGGGATTTTTTTTATTCTTGTTTTTAAATGTTGGCTTATGTGCCTGGTGCACGCTGTGAATTGTATGAAAGTGCTAAGGTGCAGTGTTTATACTGCTTACTCGCTCTTCTAAATCTATTACTGTGATCTTTTTGTAGTGTGTTTTCCCACTGCAGCTGTGGCTCTTCTTCCTTCTTTATGTTCACATGACTGTCCACTTTTTCTTGAGCTTTTTTGGTAAAGGAAAGGCAGGCTGCTGTCCTTCCCTGAAAGTAGTGTTGCATGTTGTAATAAAGGCGTTTACTTTTTTTTCTTTTACCACTGCCACTTGACTCTGTTGCATCAGGTGGGGTGTTGACCGCACCACTTCGTGAAAGCTTCATAATTGTGTTCAGCATTAGGTGTGAGTGAAATTAGGTTGATGATAAGCTTTTAGCGTAATGAGCATTTGCTTTGAGTCACGCCATTACCTGCCACTTGTGTTTTTGCCGGTGTCGCATTTAATGTAGTGCCAAGAAGGAGCGGGGGGCACTGCAGACATGCTAGCAGCAAACATTAAAGCTTGCTTGTGCCAAAGTTTGGAAGCGTTATTTCAACAATTTTGCTTATGATAAGGCTCTGAAATTAGCTCATACTTCAGCATTGTCTTTCTACCGAGGGTCCCACAGTGCTGTTTAGTGAGGTAGTAGGCTTGACTTTCACTGAGTGGTAGAAGAGCTGCGTTCTGGTCTAAATTATTTAAAACGGCCCTTTCAAGACTAGGTTTATCTCAGCTGAGGTGTTGCTTTGGGGTGTTCAGTAATCTACTGAGCGTCGTTTGCGTGAATGTGACAGTACAAGATCACGTTTCCAAGTGTGTTTAAAAAAGCCGCCATGACACTGTTTATATGTAGTACAAGTTTTTCCCTGAGGTCGTAGTGCCACAAGGTGTCTCATGAGGGAATTGCCGGTATACCAGGCTCAACAACTGCAGTTACCATTTTCTAACACCGAACAGTCTTTCGAGACGTTGTGGTGCCAACAAGCTTTTATGGATTCTGGCCGCTGCTTAACCATTCTTGCAGTATATCACCGAATTCTATCACATCTTTCATAACGCTAAGACATGCCTGTGTTTACATGCTCTGTACAAGTCTACTCAGATTCTTCGCCCTCGTCTGAGCACATTAATGTGATGCAACACTGTCCCATTCACGTAAGCGTGGCTGCAGTCAATGCAGTATTGGTACAAGCACATTCTTGTTGAGCACAGTCGAGTGCCCAACCTAAGTCTGAGCATCGTAGTGATACCTTGAAGCTCTCCATAGGCATTGGCTGTGGTGCTTTTCTTGTCGCTCCATGTAGCCTTTGTGCGTGTAGAGGGGACTGCCAGCGTCCGTTCTCCCCTGGCCCTTCCCGTTTCAGTCGTGCATGTTTCACTTTGTGTGTTTGCCCCTTTGCAAGGCCCAAGCAGCAGCTTTCTGACAGAAATATTTTTTTTTTCTTTTCTTCTCTTCTTTCTTCTGCTTCCCCCTGGCTTTCTCTTGACTCCCCCGGGGGCCTTCTCTGCCCCTCCCTCCCCGTGACTCGCTGAGCGCAGTGGTGTGGTCAATTCCCCAACACGATCTAAAGGAGTGGGAAAATACCTTTCGAATTTGGAGTGGCAACGGTAACTAGTGCTTTCATCCCATTTCTTGAAGCCCTTGGCCTCGTTCTGTGATTTCCTTTGGTGGGGCCATTTCTGCTTTTTGGAATGCGTTTTACCTGAAGGGACCATTTCCTTGTTTTATCTATGCTTTTGCCTTGGTCTTGCGCAACGCTTGCCTGCATGCGCTCTTCGGAGATGTTTATGGGCAGTTTTAATGGTAATGATGCATATACTGCTTTTTGATTGCTACTGGCTGTTACGAAAAAGCGTGCCCCATTTTTCCTGCATGAATAAATTTAGTTGGCACTTTCAGTGTTCACACTGCCCTGCCAGTTTGTTTGCCTAATGTTTTGCATGAAAAAGTGATTGTTGTCAGTTGCCAAGATTCGGACTTTCTCATTTTCGCAAAAGTTGAGGAAGCATGCACAACTTTCAAAAAAAAAAAAAAAGTGTTGGTCTGAAGTTGAGTTCAAATATAGCAACACAAAGCTGCCCATTTATTTATTTATTCAGCTCCATCTTTCGAAAATATTTTCAACCGGTGCATGCGAGTGCTGTTTCAGAAGTAACCTGCTTGCTACTTGACAGACAGCCGTGTGTGCTCTAGCGTTATCGTCTTTTTCTTTTTCCACTTTTCAGTGAAGTACGAGCGCATCAAGTTTCTGGTGATAGCGCTAAGGGACAGCATTGAGATCTATGCCTGGGCACCCAAGCCGTACCACAAGTTCATGGCGTTCAAGTCTTTTCCCGAGCTGATCCACAAACCTCTGGTGGTGGACATGACCATCGAGGAAAACATTCGCCTTAAGGTGAGCACCACATGCTCTCGCTACTGCAATTTAGAGATTCTAGGCCCGCATAATTTGTCGAGTGCCACCAGCCACAGCAGTCTGGTCAGTATGGTGCTTTGCAGCTGACCTGAAGGTCACAGGATCAAATCCCTGCTGCCATAGCTGCATTTCGACAGAGCAGAGACGAAAATGCTAGAAGGTCGCGTGCTTTGATTTATTTACACATTGAAAAAACCCAGGTGCTTGAAATCATTGGAGCCCTCCAGTACAGTGTGTCTCGTAATCGTATCATGGTTTTGTGGCTAAGACCCGCACAGTTATTACTTGTCTAGTGCCTGGAAGGGTGAGCAAGAAAATGCTTTCGCAATATGGCAAAGAGATTGACGAGTACCGTAACTACTCAAATCTAACGCCCACCTTTTTCCGGTTAAGCGAGTTCATAAATCGCATGCGCGTTAGAATCGAGTACGAAAAAAAAAATGAATACGGTCATTGTATTGAAATCGGCATTTCTAAAATGGCCGCCCCCTACGTGCGTCGGCATGGCGCGTCGGCCATTTCTGCCTACGTGTTTCCCATGTGCGGCACTTCGTACGTGTGCTGAGGAATTCGTCATCTTGGAGTGCATATGGAAGAGCCGACTCCAAAAACTCGAGCGCACCACGATGCCGCTTTTAAAAGAAAAGTCATCACGTGTGCCGAAACGGACGGAAATCTGGCCGCATCGTGGTTGTTCGGAGTTCTCGAAACGTGCGTGCGGGACTGGCGGAAACAAAAGCAGAAGATTGTCGACAGCAAAGCTTCACGCAAAGGCTTCAGTGGGCCACAGCAGGGTTGGTTTCCACAAATTAAAGAGCTGCTCAGCGAGTATGTGCTTGATCAGCGAGCGGCACAGCGGCCCGTGACGACAGAACTGCTCCAAGTGCGGGCTATGCAATTAGCCTTAGAAAAAGGTCTAATGCGGAGCCAGTTTAAAGCAAGCAGGTGCTGGCTAACTAACTTTACGAAGAGGAAAGGCTTTTCCCTCCGAAGGGGAACAGGCATATGCGAAAGGTTTTGCGGAGGAGTACGATGAAAAGCTTCACAGTTTTCAGAGGTTCGTCCGAAACTTGCGGCACAACAACGGCTATTTACTTGGGCGAATCGGGAATGCCGATCAGACGCCTCTTTACTTGGACATGCCTAGCACCACAACCGTCGAGAAGAACGGGGCGAAGCAAGTTCGCGTGCTGACATCGGTCCACGGTAAAACTACAGTGACGGCAATGCTCTGTTACACGTCAGATGAGCACAAGATTCCCCCGTACCTCATAATTAAATGGAAGACGCTCCCGAAAGGAGTAGTTTTTTCGAGTGGTGTGATCGTGCGGGCCAGCGAGAGAAATGGGTGCGCGTTGTAATCGATGTCTTATTTTATTTATTTTTTTCGATGTGGAAATCGGGTGCGCGTTACAATCGAGGGCGCGGTAGAATCGAGTAAATACAGTATGTAACCACTGCCAGTAGATTTAGGAAATGGGGAATATAAAGAAAGACCCCAGACTAGCGAGAGAGCAAGGAACTGGAAGTAATAATTTAAGAGACTGACGTGGTATTTCTAAAACAAAAAGTTTTCAGCTATGGAACACTGATGTAGGGACGAAGAATGTATTGTAGCAAGGCACATAGAGTAGACTATTTCATTTCATAAATATTAAAAACTTTCTGCTCTAAATGCTCTATCAATAGTCTAGACGTTAAGTGTGCATTTTTTCAGCATTATTGGTCTCCTGTAGTACTGCCTGCTTGAATTTCTCAAAATTTTCTCAACTCCGCATGCAGATTTAAAATGCAGTTGGCTCATAAAGAAGTCTCGCGTTGTGTGTGCTGTCACCCCATGTATTTTAGCCCAAACACTTGAAACCGTGGATTCTTCAAATTATTTTTCTGAATTCACCTCAGGTGGTGTATGGATCAAGCCAAGGGTTTCATGCAGTGGATTTGGACTCAGGAGCTGTTTATGATGTTTACATTCCTTCCCATGTAAGTCTTCCTTATCAGGTTGTGCGGTGTGTGTGCATGTGTGTGTGCGTGTGTGTGTGTATGTGTGTGTGTGGTGTGTGTCCTCTGCAATAACTTCACATTTAACTTGTATTCGATTGCTCCGCCATGGTGGTCTAGTGGCTAAGGTACTTGGCGGGGATCAATTCCCGGCTGCTGCGGCTTCATTTCTGATGGAGGCGGAAATGTTGTAGGCCCGTGTGCTCAAATTTGGGTGCACGTTAAAGAACCCCAGGTGGTCGAAATTTCCGGAGCCCTCCACTGCGACGTCTTTCATAATCATATAGTGGTTTTGAGACGTTAAACCCCACATATCAATCAACTTGTATTCCATTTATAAATTCTTGATGGCCAGCAGATATTCACTGGGGCCATTTGGTTTCGTCGAGGGATGAAAAAGCGTTGTCAAGTGCAGGAGGGTAATAAATGGTGGTTGTAATATATACTGCACTAGCAGCAAAACTTAGGCGAGTAAATCAGGGGTGAATATTTTTTTGCTGATGTTTTTTTTATTGGTAATGCTTTTGTGCTTCTTGAGCTTCAACCATGGTTGGCTCAACCACCTGTGCAATCAACGGGGTTAGCTGGCCTCGAACTGCTGATGGTAAGACTAGAACTGAGCATGGCACATCACTACAAAATTCCGGCCTAGTGCACCTCGGAACACAGTGCCTTGAGTGCGAACATACCCTATTTTCATGACGTCATCTTTATTGCTGTGGTTTTTGTAAAATACGAAGGGATGATGTCAGGGAAAATCAGCAGTAGTGCGGTGTTGTCTCCGTCAAGGTGCAAGGTTTCACTGTGAGGAACCTACACCCAGCAACAAGGGAATAAGAAAGTTCATGATGTCTGGTAGTGATATTTATTATAAGAGGGCATGTGTGTTTCATTTGTGCTTTTCCTTTTGTGCTGTCGTGGAGCAGTTCCAGGATCGTGCAGCGGGGGTAAGCATTGTGCTGATTTTCGGCTTGCTGAAAAACTTGTAGTTTATGCAGTGCTGAGGAAGAACGTATATAAGCACCATCTTTGAACACGCTGTAATGCATGGTCACATGCACACTGCACTCTCAGTTATCAAGTTTGCTACTTGTTCTCCTGAAGCAAGTTACTTCCTTGCACATGAAAATCATTTGAACTTAATGGCGCATGTCTGTGCATCCTGGAATGTTAGATGTACTTGCACTTACAATTTAAGGTTGCGTTCGTATGAAATTTTACCGACTTGATAGCACAACTATTTTTCACACTCGAAGAGAGACCCGGAGGTATCATTATCAAACTTTACTGTTTGCACAGTTGAAAGATTTTCGCTATACTTGGCACTACCCCTTTAAGGTGCTCCTCACTCTGTTGAGCTTGGACTGTTATTGACACTGTAGTTTCACTAAAATATAAAAGTTAGTGTTGGCATCACACTGGATTACTGTGCACACTTTTCTAATGGGTTACTGCTCGAAATGCACTGTTGTGTCTAGACATTCCTTTCATTTTCTCCATAGAAGTTGCTTAATGGTAAGTTAACTTCACGAATTTTTGTGCAAGTGCAGCTGCTTGTATATTTCTACTCATGTCTTGTGTCTTGTCTGTTCGATATTCAAGAATGACTTGTCTTCCCACACTTATTTATATATACAAGTCTGAGTTGCTGCACTCTGGCTGCATTTGCGTAGTGACACAAGTATTGCGCACTTCTGTAAAAACCGGCGCTCACAGATGATTTTCTTACCTTTCAGAACCAGGGCCAGATTACCCCCCACACCATTGTGACTCTTCCAAACTCCAAAGGAGTTCAACTACTGCTCTGCTACGACAGTAAGGCTGTCTATTCACATTTTTGCGCATCACTGTAGTGAAGTACAAGTCGCTAATGAAGTTAGACGTGTCTATTCTCTTGGTATACATTTCGTTGTTTGCTTGTCTGGTGCCTTGTCAATTAAAGCTGTGCAGTAGGTTCACTCTGTAGAGCTTTGTGGCAATTTTTTAATGCTGAAACCTCAGCAAGGTCTTTTCTGTTGGCTAGTGCACCTTGGCACATCCTTTGCAGAAGGCGACAGGCAGTGTAGGGCTTGTGTGAAAGGCAGCTCAGTTTGTCATAAAGTGTGAAGAATATATTTTCATTGTGAATTTAAGATATAACAAAGTATTTTTGTGGCAGATGTACACTCATTATAACATTGTAACATTTTGAGTGTACAAAGCTGGTAGGTAGCATTGTGGGGAGTGGTGCTGTCATGATATTTTCTAGCCCGGTTTATTCCCAGCAAAATCTTAATACTAGAAATAATGTATTAAAAACTTTGGTTATACAATGCAGTTTTACGGCGACCCTGCATCTTACGACGGCTTTCAGATTTCGTCAAAAAAGGAACACATTTACTCGGATAAATGTTGACCAAATACAGCCAAACCTCAATATATCGAACACGGATACATCGAATTATTGCCTATATCGAACGGTTCCTATATCACGCAGGAAATCACATGCATTATTGATTTTTTATTTCGAACAAAGTTTGACATATAATGAATATATCGAACTCAGCCACCCCAAACCGCCCGCGCTCCATTGACAGGCGGCGAGCTTTCCCGCAACTCGCGAAAGTAGCGGTAGAGCGGCGGGCGTTTACGAATGCTGCACACATGCCACTTTTAAGGTAGCGGCGTACTCGCGCCGCAGCCTTGCAGCTTGCAGTCGTTGCAGTCTCTATGGTGTCAACAGCACACTGCGCACTTGTTGGGAGGATTCGCACGCAGGATTTCAAGCTTAATGGTTGTGCCCTCGCAATCTCCGGCGCCAGCGTAACTCCTGCTGACTGGTTCGCCCTCCGCGGTCTCCTGACGCCGTGCAGCTCTCGCATTGTGGCGTCCCGCCCTTGGACTGCTTTGACCGGATCCCCACTTTCATATCCCCTTCTTTTTTCCGTGGCTTGCCTGTCTATTTCTTCATCTATTTCCTTCTATTCTTTTTATCCCTCCTTCCCCCACCCCTATAAGGCACTGCGCCGTGTCGCCTGAAGGCAGACAGAAATTGGGTGCCTTTTTCCTCTTCCTTACAACCACTACCACCCCCACTTGTTGCAAGCTCCTCCCCCGTAGCATCGGCAGGCATTGGTCGTTGTACTCGCAGTGTTCGTGCGTTCGGAGTTCGGCCTGTCGCGCGCTGTGGTGCGCGACAGGCCTAACTCTGAACGGCGGAGCTCACGGATGTGGAGATTGTCGCCGAAGCTACTGCTAAGCAGCCAAATGAAAACTCTGCCGAGGTGGATCCCGCAAGCGCTGATGATGCCCCGCTCCCGACATCAGCTGAGGTCGTAGCTGCCTTGGCCCTTGTGCGCCGCCACTGCGGCCCGATTGAAGGCACCAGCTTATCACTTATGGATCGCCTGGACTATATTGAGGACGCAGTCGTCAAACACGCCATGGCCAACAAAAAGCAGGCTACTCTTTCTCAATATTTTAAACCAACACAATAAATACTATGTTTGAATCTTCAAGTGAGTATTTACTGCACCACGCTTGAACGGTTCGTTGGTTGTTTTCAGCAAGCTGTTGGCGCATTTTTTTCGTGATTTTTTTATATCGAATTCCAGATATATCGAACTATTTCGTGATCGCCGCGCCGTTCAATATATCGAGGTTCGACTGTATTCACGAGCACGAAATTTCTACTTGTGTTCCCTTAGGTTGACAATGTCTTTTAGGAATGGAAAATTTATTCACCTAGAAGTTCATGCGCTTCTGCATATGCGTCGATTGTATGCGTACGTATCCAGGGTCGTTACCTAGTCAAGCTCTATATACACAGAGTAGCTTCAGCCAGCCTAAAAACTGATAATTTTAAGTCTTCAGTCCAGGGAAACTTTTTCTGGTCGACATACAGCTGATCTCCTGCCTTTGTCACACTCTCAGTCACAGGCTTGCGCATGCACAAGGGTGCGATGCACCTCTTTTCATCGTGCAAAATTACTTTCACTGGGCGTAAATGTTCATAATATAAGCGGGACATCACCAGTTGCACTTCACAGGCCAACAAATTACAACGCGCACAGATTAGTCGTGAGCGAAGGCATTCTATGGAAACTCGTAGTCTGTTGCCATTATGTGATGATGATGACACTGTGTCAGACTCTTCTTATGGGAGACTGTTGCCAACACGGTCTCAATTTCGTTTCTCACGCGTAGGCAATTTTTGGGCTTTGTTTATCAGTAGAAAGATGTGCATTGGATTCGACTTTTTGTAAAGTTGAAAATAAAGATCCGCTCCCACCTCCTTCACTTATGTTGGGCTGCCATTAGATGCCACTGGCAAGAATATTTTAATCTGCCTTCCTTGCAGAGGCACAAGTTCATACTGTGGGCTTACTCAGCCAGTCTGTGCCACTTTTCTCGGCAAGGCTTAGTGCCACTGCCTACAATCTTTTTTTTTTTTTTTTTTGTTATACAATGCCCAGATTATAGGACCATTTTGCATGGTCCCCTGAAAGTCGAATAATCAGGGCTTCACTGTTTGGGGAGAGTGTTTTCTTCGTTGCACATTTGTCATTGTGTCAGGCACATCAGCATCATGCACAATGAAGAAGCTTCTGAAGCAGCATTTCGTTGTCCAGCATGGCAACGAGACCGACAGGATGGGCGGCAGTAGAGCACGTCATTAATGACACGGAGGATCAGCAACGTGCAATAGGTAGCATAACCACTACTGCGGTTGTCGTGTGGTTGTTAGTGCTCGGCAGATCTTTGGTTTCATCCATGATTGCATTGGAAGGTTACTTGGCAGCTGTAGTAGAGCTGGTGGGGTAGCCTTGCTGGGTGCACAACAACGTACAGGTATGCAGTTATTCCATTCGAGTGCATAGAACCATGGATGCTGTGAGTAATGGACTTTGAGATAAAAGCTGTGGGGCCATCTTTTTGCTTGGCAAGGCAGGCCAGTACTTCACCTTGGTAAATCTCTAGACTGAGGCACAGTCTGAGGCAGTTTGTTGCATGAATAGCAACTTATGACCAATGATCTGGTTGTGGCAGTGCCTTGCATGGACTTTTGGGCGGGAACACTATTTTGAGGCTGTGCCAATCTTGATGTGCGCTGGCCTGACTGAGAAAGAAGTGTGGGTCTATATGAAAAAACTATACCTCAGTGTTGCTCCCAGGTGATGCCATGAGGAGTGGCATGCCATCTGCAGGCAATTTTCATTTGGAGCCAAGGGTGCAATTTCCACAATTGACCACAATGATGTCATCAATATGCGTAAGTTGTCCATGAAGGCAACAGTGGCCACACTTGTTATAAAAGAGTCACTGGTCATGTGGCTCGGCCATCCACTTAGCTGCCGACTAGCAAACGGTCTTTGCACGAGTCTGTTTTGGTTATTTTTGCTAATCAGGGTTGTGTCTGGCAGTAATGCTGCAATGACACCCTTTGATGAATGGCACACTGTTTGGATATCTTTTCGGCAGCTCAACTACAACCTTGAGTCAGCTCTGAGGCATCTTTTTATGAACATGTAATTTCCTTGCAACTAGCGCAACGATTTTGCGAATTGAATACAAAATTTCAACTTTTTCTTTAGCATAGCATTGCTTGTACATGTGATCTTAACTGTGTATTGTTAGTGTTACTGTAGGATCATGCAATCACTTACATGGCACTGCCTATTTTGTTTCCAGATGAAGGTGTCTATGTGAGCATTTATGGCCGAGTCAGCAAGAACATTGTCCTGCAATGGGGAGAAATGCCGACGTCAGTTGGTAAGATCTATGTAATATTTTAAATGCGAATGCATTTCTTAGTCAGGTTATGTCAGCCGTCCGCTTGCCGGCAGGTGCCATAGCTCTTCTCTCACTTGCTCTCTCATGGCAACAGCTATGGGCACATGCACTTATTCTCGCGCCTAACAACTGAAGCAGGTGGTGCGAGTGGAGAGGAGGAGCACGCTCTGGCGTGTGAGGGCACTCCCACTGCCAGAGCTCAGCGGAGCTCCCGCGTATGTGGAGGCAGTGTAGGCGAGGGTAGGTGCAGTGCTTTGTCGCTCTTCTCGCCGTTTGCTCTCTCTCCTCCATGCACCCCACTCTCCTGTCCGCTCGCAGGTACGTATATACAGTCGAATCTCATTTATTCTGTAGGTGAAGAAGATGAGTGCTTTATAAAAGAGTGCCACTCTAAAACGCCTCATTTTAATTTGAACTTACGGTTAATTTGAACTCACGCTGAGGTCCCGTCAAAACTACGTGCATTCCATGGGGTGAAACCCCGTAATTCGAACGCGCGAGCACTTGCGACGATCAATTCGAACGTGCTGCTGAAAATGCTCTCAGCACCACGCCCAATCCTGCGGCGGCACCTCCGACACCTCAACCCTGTGTGCTAAAGAAAAGAAAAGGGGAAAAAAGCCTCCAGTAGAATGTTTGCTCTCTCTCAAATGCTGATCTGCAACGCACCTGTGCCAGGCTTCTCCCTTTCCCGTCCCTGCAACGTGAAGACCCTTCTCCTTTCAATGCAGCGCGTAGAGGGAGAGGAAAAAAAGAAAGCTGTTGCTCTCTCTTGCGCGCCGGTGCTAGGCTTCTTCCCCCTTTCCTGTTCCTGCCACGTAGACCTTTCACCTTTCAACAACATGTGCGAAAAGAGCAAAAAAAAAAAAAAAAGGCTGCTGTGGAGTGTTGGTTTTTTCTCAAATGCCAATCTGCTTCTCTCCGTGTGGAGACGCAGTTGTTGTGATCGTCTTTAGAGTGTCGGCGCTGGACATTGCCACACGCAACTTCTTTTGCCAGGAGAATGCTGAAGCCGAAGTAGAAATGCTTTGCAAGCTTCGTGCGAAATTTACTCTCTGCAAGGCAAGCGTGTGCAGACGCGCATCACCGATTACTTCAATTAATTACGGATGTCCTGTGATTTGTGAATAAATCTGTCTTCTGAAACTTTCCCCTCGTGTGTTAGCTCAATGCACAAGCGCCACAGCATGGTGATCCCTCGGTTCATTTAGCTTTCATTAATTCGAACTTATTTTATCAAAATAATTTTGGGGCCCTATCAATTCAAATTATCGAGATTCGACTGTATAAATGCAGTGAAGCGTGCGCCTCACTCTCGACCGTTAGCTGGCTGATGAATGTGTAAATAAAGAGTTACGATATAAATCCTCGTCTTATCATTAATTTACGCCATTAAAATTACTATGCCACGCACACATTTCGTTTGTATGTTTTATTATTTCTATCATCCTTGATACTTCTCTTCAAGCAATAGATTGCATAAGTTACACATGTCACATCTACTAGTTCTCACGGTGTCATATACTACTTTGGTGTATGCAAGATCATTCCTTGTTGTATACCTCAACTCTACCGTGTTCGGACGCACTCAGTGGTATGAAGGTCAATCGGTGTTCAGTCTGATATTTCACCTCTTTCCGGGCCGCGCAGCATCGCAAATCTTGGCAGATGAGATTGTGAGCGCCCAGTACATGCATTCCTGTTGCCTGCTCAAATTCTCAAACATGGTGAACGACCCTTTAAGGCGATCGCCGGCAGAAGAGAAGCTGACCTTGTCCGGTTAGACTAAGTTAATATGAATAAAAAAGACCCTTCTGGCCAATTAGCACACTGGCTATTTGCTCCTTTGTAGCCCTTCTCAGTCATGCCGGAAAAAAAAAGAGAGAGAGAGAGAGACCCAGGAACGTGTTTATTTGACAGTGGACACTTAAATCACCATGCTAGACTAGAAAAAGGATAGACCGTATTCTTCAAACCCTGCGGGGGGAAAAAAATTACATGGCTATGCTAATTATTAGCGCCTTTGTTACCGTCATAAACTATAACATTTCTGCTTGCTTTCCTTGTCTACACACAGATTCCACAGGTCTTTCTTCGAAAAGTTGAATTTTTGGAGAAATTTTATTATGTATATATTTACTGTTTTGGGGACCTAAAACTGTGTTTTTTTCTGCCTATTTTTGGCACCTAATACCCGATTTTTTAATGCCTATAAATCCGGTTTCTAGTGATGACGATAAATTTAAAGTTTTCATTCTGTGAAGTTAAAGTTAAGTAGTTTTGACATTATTTATCATCAAAATAGTGGGCAAGCCTAATATTTATTTAAAATGCCGACACATTCTTTGAGTACTTTTTTTCTTTTACTAGTGTGTGTCTAGATTTTTTTTTTCTTTAAATTCATAAAAACAGTTAGCTGTGTTTGGCTTGGAGGCATGTCAGGATCTTGAGCAGAAACTGTTAACTGAATTGGCATTGTGTTGTGAGTGTTCTCGCCTTAATCAGATCTCCTCAATCACACGAGAGTCAATGCAACGAAAGCCTGCTATACTTGTAGCAATCCTGCCTTGAAGCTTTCATACCAGCTCACCATACCATCATAAATTTCAATGGTCTGTTCAAGCCTAGTTCATTTTTTATTAGTAAATGTCAACTTTTATTTTTCTTAAGGAGCAAAAGATTAAAACCAGAATGTTTAAGTACTTTTAAATGTATCACAGTAGCCTTTATAAGATAATATAAAATTCATATTATTACAACGATGCATGGGTGCTTAAATATCAACATGCAATAGTACAATCCAAAGTTTTTTTTTCCCTCTTTTCTCTTCTAGTGATCAACCTCTCACGTCAAATGTAATGAAAATACACTTCCCCTCTCTCACTTTTGTTAAGCTGGGTTACGATGAGTCTGTGTTTACTCATTGTTACTGTGTAGTTGCTGTATTCAGAAAGCTGTGGTACATTAGGTTGAAGATATGTTGGCTCGGTATTGCCTGTTGAGACCGTGTAGTTGTGCTTTGTTCGGCTATGTTTTGCCTACCAGTGACTCTGCATTTTATCTGTCGCAATGCAGCATACGTCGGCACAGGACAAATCATGGGCTGGGGCAACAAGGCCATTGAAATTCGTAGCGTCGAGTCTGGCCACCTGGACGGCGTGTTTATGCACAAGAAGTCACAAAAGCTCAAGTTTCTCTGTGAACGCAACGACAAGGTATGGCCACATGACTGCAACACATTCTCGCATGGTTCAGCTGCTGGAGGGGTGAGCTATGTGGGAAAGCCAATCTCTCTGTGAGAAAAGGCACATGTTTTGCTTGCGAATGATAACACAAATGTTTTTCAATAAATCATAAGTCTATAGTTCGATGTGCTGAAGCAATACCTGTCAACTTTATGCTGTTTGACATGCACATTCTTCTATTTTCACACGTGCGCTGAGGTGAACAATTCTTGCTGGTCCACCCAATGCGAAAAAATCGGCAAGTAGCCAGGTTGCGGGTTTAATCTTAATCGTGGTGGTTGCATTTCGGTGGAGGCGAAACGGTTGAGGCTGGTGTACTGTGTGACGTCAGTGCACGCTAAAGAACGCCAAGTTGTCAAATTTCCAGAGCTCTCCACTACGGCGTCCCTCGTAACCGTATTGTGGTTTTGGGACGTAAAACCCCACATGTTATTAATCGGCAAGTAGCTGCAGTGGGCCGAAGTTATTGTTTGTGCCAAGCATTACAAAGTGCATCGACAGGTTTGTGTAAATAAAATACTTGCCCACATATTTTAGGCTTGCCAGGCATATAGATCAAAATAACGCGTAAAAGGTAGCCAAGGTCTAACGTAACGTCAGCGCTCGTGTTCGAGCGGAGATTTCGGTTTTATCGCAAGCAAGTGGACGCTTTGTTGTGATAATGTGCGCACCATAAGTAGCACTTGTCGTTATATTCGACCGATGCTTGGCCATGGCTTGTCTATATTTATTGTGCTTTTTTGAAAACGGGTGGCCTACAGTGTAAGCACAAATGTTTTTCCAACAATACGCTTGTAGAGGGCCTTTATGCTAAGCAGTTTAAAGCACGAGCATGGCTCTGTGGCAGTATACTGAACTGCCATGCAAAATGCCAGAGTTTGACTCTAGCTCGAGATGCCATTTTTTATTCTTCACCTCAGTCGGGTTTTTTTTTTGTTTTTCCGCGCCGTCGAGGCGACCACCAGATCCTAGACATGAGTCTCCTAACGCTTTCGCGGAAAGATTTCCAAAGTTAATTTTTGCTGTGCCTGGCTTGATGTACTACTCAAGAGTCACCTGTGGGGGTATACCAGTACACCATGCGTAGCATTATACAGGTATGTGCCAAATGTGACTGCTCGGATTTTGCAATTTAAGTGACAAGCAAGTCGGGTTATTCATTTCAAGACCCATGAATCAAGTTAGTCACGCACTCCTCTGCCAATCTTGGTATATACCAAGTTGAAGGGATGACCACGAGATCATGCAGAGATGTAAACGGCTAGAAAGATGGGCCAATGTGCCATTGGTTCACTAAGAAACGTTTCGCATTCAAAACTGCCCAGGTGATGAGCCTTTGCTAAGGCAGAATGTGCCTTTTCACCATTCAGCTCCAGTTTTATTAGCAAGTTCGTATACTTATCATCACCTTTTGACTTGTCTGAAATAATTTGTGAGTTCCTCTTGTGGACTGCCTTCAAAGCTTGCATTTGGATCAGTATTCTTGACTCGTGACCAAGTACAGCATCTTGACAGGGTGCCAGTAACAGCTGTTGCTCTTAACTCTAGCATGGTCTTTGCAGAAGTGCGGTTTTTCAAACAATGCCAAAGGTCTACATGCCTCTGAACTTCCCTGCTTTTAGATTTTGAGTTCACAGGCCGGGTTTTATCGTATATTGCTTCTAGTACTAGTACTACGCAGCTTTGTAAAAGTTTTCTGTAAACCATTGTTTTGTAATTGAGCCACCAGAGCTCGACCTTTTCCTTTTTTTCCTTTAGACGCACCATTTGTGAAGGTGCTCATTAACATATTTTTCTGTGCTTTGTAGGTGTTCTTTTCGTCGGCCAAGGGGGGCACCTCCTGCCAGATCTACTTCATGACGCTGAACAAGCCAGGAATGGCTAACTGGTAACCATGGTACCAGCAGGCCGCCTGTTAGAGCCAGCAGGCATCAAAAGGCGTAGTTTACAATTTCCCGTAAAAAATGTCTCCAGTCATCCTGCTCGAGCAAATGCAGCAGTTTTTCCATCTTTCTGGAATCGGTAATTCAGTCTTGGAGAACAATTGATGACTTTTTTTTCTCCTACTATAATGGAAGTTAGGGCTCAAACTAAGCAAATATTTCGGCTGCCAGTGGCAATTCAGGCCATTCTCTAGCCTCAGGCAAGCTGCCCTCTGTCAACGCTTTGCAGCTGCCTTCGGTGGTGACGTACTGCGTGTGCAGTTCATTAAAGTCGCTTTCCCCCGAAGTTACTCAATATAGCTGCACTACAAAGAGGAATTGTTTAGCCTCGCCTAGTCCTATTACATATGATATTTTGTATTTTCACTTACGAGTACCACGCATTTCAAGCCTGATTGTGCTCTACGCAGCCTTGCAGTGTGATACTTTTATTAAGTAGTTTAATCATTTCACCTTCGTAAGTTAATTTCATGTTAATTTACCTTTTGTTATTTTCTTTTTGCCATCCACCTGGCACACGGTTTATGCAACTCAAATTATGAGTATGAGCAAACAGATCTAGTATCTTACGAAGATTTTTTTATTTTCCTTTATCATTTCTTTATCTTTGCAGTGTTTGAAATGCTATCTGTGTGTACTTAGCAGCATTTCTGGAACAGTGCAGTGTTTTGCAGAGTTGTAAAACTGCTGCATTTGCTGCAGTGTGCTTACTTCTGCCTGGACTGCAATTCGCTTGTCACAGCCTAGTGACTGTCTGACTTTGAATGTTCTCTATTTTGGGGCCATGTCATGCTTCTGTCGTGTTGACCAGCTAGCAGCCCCGAGGTGTGCAACTGGCTGTGCCGTTTTGGCGTAGCCTGCTGTTAGCGCCTTCTGCAAGCTCTTGCTGCTCATGATTCACTGTTGATTTGTCAAACCCAGACTTAAAAAGCGATTTTGCCTGAGGGATGCACTGTGTTCTCTAAGCGTAGCTTCAGTGGCTTTAAAACATGAAAAAATAAACAGGCGACTGCTGCTGCGGTCTTGTTGTGGAGTTGGCCATGTCACATAGTGCACATAGTTACGGTTACATATCTACATTTTTTTGTTTGTGCAATACTCCTCTTAGTCTATCTGAGCAGGTGGGCCCTGTACGCTGCTTTCCTTTACACTGCTTGTGTCATTTGTGGTCCAAGGCATGGTTGCTCCTAAGTTTTCTTATATACATATTATACATACATATTATATACATACATATATATATATATATAGCAGTGGCATGTGAAGGCTGTTGTCTCTTCAGCTTTTGGTCAATGTCGTGACCTGTATTTATCGTGTACAGAATTTATCTATTTATCATCCCATGCTGAAGGGAGGGGAAAGACTTGCTTTCACCCAATAGCTGTTCGCTGTTTGGATGTTTGTTCTTTCTTTAAGTGCCACTCGACAAACAAAGCAGTTTGTGTTCTCTTAGCATAGTGCCCTTCGTGACAGTGCTTGACACATCTACACTGGCAGGCCTGTTTCTGGAGTGTGCATACTAAGGGCATGGTCTGAAATGCATGGAGTGAAGTGGGTTGCTGGAAATATAACATGCTTTTGTCTAGGTGGTGTGCAACTGGCAAGGGCTGCTAATATAAACTTATTTTGTGCATTTGTCTCGCTTCAACCAGTAGGTGCTTAACTAAACACCTGGAAGCGTAGGTACTTTTATTTAACATGGCAATGTGCTCTGTCTTTTAAAATGGCATTGGCTGTGCATTGGATTACTATTGCTGGCTGTATTTGTACAGTCTGCTCTTTTCTGTGCCGCCTTGTCTTTTATATATATATTATGGCAGCAGAATAGACAGTTTCTTACATTGAGGTGAACTATGAAATACACCCACGAGGTACTGGGCATGAGCTAAGCACTCAGGCAGTCATTGTAGTTGGTAATAGAGTATGATGTACATTTTGTTTGCTCAAAATTTCACAGTCACTGAAGAAAGGGGGAAAGAAACTAGGTTTCTACCACTGGTGAGCTTAAGAAAAAGTTATTGTACAGGTGCTAGTCTAACACCCTCTGACTTTGCTCGTCCCATGCTTATGTGTGCACAACCACAGGCATATCTGTTGCCCAACATCCACACAAATTATCATTGCATATTTAAACTTGAACACGACCATTACATTACCTTATAGCTTGTGGCAGCAGCAACAGCTTCAATGAACGGGGTGGCTTTGAGGGCCCATGCTTTGTTCCAGCACCGTTTTCATTTTGGGTTGAAATCAGCTGAAAGAATCGTGTATCCTATTTGTCTGATAAGGCCTTGTAGTTGCTCAATGTGACCTAGCTGGTCTATTCAAAGCGAGCGGCTGGGCACTGTTTCCCAATATCAGTGCCTCCTTTAAGCTTGGCTACCACCAGTGCGTCTGTGTGCCAGCACTTGGCATGATGGCATGTGCTGTTGATTTACCTACTTCGCACCAGTTCTTCACAAGCTGCTCATCTGGAGCACCGTGCTGCCTCAGCCCTCTTCCTCTTTTTTGTATTTGCTTTGCTGTAATTTGCTATGGTGTTTATATAACGTCTGGATACTGCAAGCTTTTGTATAAGTGTCCGGTGGACAATAAGTTACCACAGCTCTGTAATGTTCCTTGTCTTCATTTTATTTTTTTATTGAAACAAGTCCTCCTTCATTTCATGCTGGAGATGGCATATGTTGACCATGTGGATTTCAAAAGAATTTGTTTTCTCACTGGTTAACCTGTTCATGCCCATTTATTTCTTTTTATTCCTCACGTGCGTGCCCACTTCTTCCTCCCCTTCCTTTACATATATATATTTTTTTGTTTATGTTTGCAGTTTAATGGCTTTGTTTTGTTGTCCTAGTTTATTGCAAAGTAGTCAGTGTGACCGTGGAGCTATATTTTGTATATATTGACAAAAGCTCCTTTTGCTTATAGTAGGTTTAAAATGGCGAACAAACTCATTCAACCGCAAGCGGGAAGGAATATTGTCAAAGTTTAATCAGCGTTTACCACAGGCTCACTGCAATGTCAATAATAGTGCCAAAGCCTTCCCCTACCCCCCCCCCCCCCTCTTTTTTTTTTTTTTTTTGTTACGGGGCTCTTGTTGCAAGTGGCACTTGATCCCTCTGTGCGTTTATTAGTTAGTTTTTTTTTTTTTTTTCGTGCGTCCTGCACGTGTCAGAGGTGCGTCTGATAGTCAACTGTACGCGATGAGAAAAATGTGTGTCCATGTATATAAACATATGCGTATGTGACATGATTTACGAGTAATTGCATCCTTTTGCATATCTGCTTTCTGGAGCATATATGGTACTTTATAGAAAACTAATAACCTTTAGCATATTTATGGCTGACCACTGCACGACCGCAGAGTTTTGGAAAAATGTCAAGTGTGTGCACGCTCAGAGGTTTCCCCCTTTATGCTAAACATAAGATACGGCCATGGTGGTATTTCCGGAGTTTTCTCGGACAAGTGGTAGGGTGTAGTTGGCATTTCACGTGCAGGCAACGCAGCCAGTCGTCAGCATCAGATACATAATCAGTGTTTCAATCTGGCTGCGTGCAGTGTAGCTTTGCGATCGTGCTGTGTAGAGAAAAGGTGGAGCGAACCAAGGTGTACAATGGTAGACCCATATCTGTTGAGCTACTACTTCACAAGTGTTTGACCAGGGCTATGTATACTGAATGATGTGTCATATAAGCCAATCTTTTGCAAGGCGTTATCCCAGGAGAACTTTTTTAATGCATCCTTGAGAAAGATTTAAAAAAAAAAAAACACACAGCGACTATGTAACATACACGTGCGATTTTATATGTTTTAGTGATTCTGTCAATAAAGTTTTACAGATTTTTCTCTGGTTTTGTGCCTGGACAATGTACATCTGCATAATTTGCACGGCACAACTTTTTGTGGTTAAGATATTTATAACTTGGCTGAACTGCGCATTGCACAAGCAAATAGGGCCATTCGGATCACAATGTTCAATAATTTGAAATTGGCCACTGCTCTCATTCTTGTGGTCACTAATACACATTCATCTGTTTAATTGACCCACTATATCAATTTGTGTATAAGAAATGCGGCCGTTAACTGAAATTTCATTGACTGCCAAACAACCCAAGCGATTTTCAGTTTTCTGCCATATTTGTGACACCATTGAAATTAAGACTCTCCTGGCAATGCTCATCAGGCAACCTTTCAGACTCCTGAAAATACCAGGGCTTCTGGTCAGTGATAACTACAGCGACGCTGATATGTACGTCCTTGCACGTTTTCCCAAGCAATATGGAGTGATATGGCCACTGCCTGTTTCCAGTCTGCCACACTCAAGCTGTCTCTTATGCAAGAACAGATGATACTGCATGTAATTTTTCATTGCAGGGTCAAAAAAGCCGATAGCTCTTATTCACGCGTAAGATACAGCCATGGTTGTAATGTACTAGTCACATTTTGATGTGCCGACTGCATTAACACCGTGCTGAAAGATGACCGAAAAATTTAAAAGGCGCATCTTTTTTTGTAAGCATGAATTCCATAGAGACCATTTAACAAAACAAAAAAGATAAAATTTTAGTTTTTATTGTGCCCTTTGCTCGCAAAGAGCCAAGTCTTGTCCACAATGACCACAAGCTCGTAGCTTAGAGAAAGACATGCTGAGGCGTCTGCATCTGAAGTTTCCATGGACCAGTTGGCTACTACCTCTTCCTTTGTTGGGGCAGTAAATGAAGCGCATGAAAGCATAGTGGAGTTAAATGTAAGGGCAACACTTCGCAAGCTTTATTCCAAGCCTGCTCTCATCCCTACAGGTTTCTAACTTCCCAGAGAAGTTGTTCATCGACTTTCCTCAGATATTTCATCACTTCAATTGCGAGATCTAGCATTGCTGGAATTTCATTCGAATAGTGCCCCCGCAGCATTTGAGGGGGGGGGGGGGGGGGTCACGGAAGAAAAATGTTGCGAGACGTTATAAGTTGTCTAAGAAGCTTGAGCTCATTAGTGGTGTTGTATGCCGAAAGTCAACGCTAGAGCAAAGTGTACAGAAATGATAGGTTTCTATACTCAGCGCCCGTCTTTCTGTATACGGATTTCATGATGTCTAATTTGTACCTGAAAATAGCCACTAATTCTGCAGCGACAGTTCCACCTGTGGCGTTCAAATCACAGTGCGCCATTAGTCGGTCATTCCCCTAGTACTCCTTGCTTTTCGACTTCAGCTTCCAGCTGCTACATTTTAAGCTCCGATTGACCTTCAGAGACTTCGTGCGGTAAAGAAGGTTCGGCTCTCCTTTAAAAGCTGCTGTAAAGCTCCGATTGACCTTCAGAGACCTCGTTTGGTAAAGAAGGCTCGGCTCTCCTTTAAAAGCTGTAGGTTCACTACTATGGCCTCTGAGATTGCGGGCGCGTAGCGTGGTACTCTCCGGCCGTCCCAATCGCCGCGCTCCCCAGCAATACCAGCAAATCTCGCCTCACGCGCCCGGCACCGCTAGAGCGCGCGTTTAATGTGGGTTCCTGGAGTAGGCTAACTCCAGATGATGGAGTAGGCTAACTTATTCGTGGCTACAATCGAGAAGCGAGTGAAATTCAATCATTGAACACACAGTGATAGTACTTAACTTTATGGCTTCGTGACGTGAGCCACCACCCGATCTAAAGGGCACAGCCGGAGACATCCATCCATCCATCCATCCTCGAGCGGTGGAGAGACCACGGCCAAAAGCAAAGCGCGCGGAATTTCAATGTGCGTATGTTTGTTTCTGTTTTTCTCGCGTGCGAGCAAAAATTACCGACAAATCTTGTGGCTGCACTGAAGGCAAGTATTTTTTTCTGTTACTGCTTTTATTTTGGTCCACTTGGCGAATAAAAGCATGGCAACTGCTAAACTTTTCTTATAAAGATGTTATTTCGTCCGTGACAGAAGCGTTCTACCATTCCCCCTTTCTGGAGACGCGTTTATGGTTGAAAACTGCGCAGATTATCGTCGTTGTACATTGCCCTCCTATCGTTAGAGATCATATTACTATTTTGTCGCGTACCGATATTTACCAGCTGGTCGACCGAATTCCACTTACGCTCTAGATAATCAAGTGTCGCAATCATGCCACTTATTATGATAAGTCATTTTGCCGGAATATTGTGAAAAGGTACGATTAGCCGACCTACATTTACTCCCCCACGTCCTCCACAGTGAAAGTGCTCTGGTTATCATCGTCTCCTTTTTCCCGTCACCTGTCTTTTGATTATGTTTTGGTAGCAAAATGGCAATATAAGTATCGTTTTCATTTGCAGTAATATCGACTGCATCCAAATCAAAGGGCCGCACATGTGGCCGAACGGCGTCTTTCAGTAAACCATGTTTTCGTCGAGGTAGACTGCTGAAGAATAAAAAGTGCGAATTGTCACTGCTATGTAACGCGCAGTGTTTTATATCACATACACAAAACTCTAAACGCATGCGGCGTTTTCCGACAAGCAAAACGTCTTGCTATTTGTTCTTACATTCCTCAACATATCGACTGAACACCGTAGAACTCGCGGTGCGAGTGGGCGACCGTAAGTGACCAAAGTGCACCTATAACCAGCCCGTGGTCGTCGCAGAGCTGGTGACGTTTGGTCTAGATGTAGTCTCCTCCCTGTCTCCTGCGGTGCGACGGGAGGTAGTTGGAAAGAGAAACTGGGCATTGTTATGCCTGCGAGTCCACAACGAACGTCCGTGCCTCTGAAAAAGGCAATCTTTGTCAAGGCCAGCCCGCCTGACGCGAACAACTCAATGGCGTAAACACGCACGGCGCCTTTCTGTCGCCCACGTGCAGTGAGTCACCTCAGCAAGCGAGCCATCGAGTAAACAACTGGCGTCTTCCTGTCTGGGGGGGTGACGCAATGCGCGGCGACGTCACTCGTCCTTGGGTGCAGCCACCTGCAGCGCAGCCTCTCCAGATTCGATGAGAAAGAAGGACGCGGCCCAGCGGCGACCCCATTGGAGGAGTCTGGCCTCACGACCAGCGGCGCTTCTGGTTGGAAATTTGCGTTGGACCCGGGGCATATAAAAGAAGCCTTGCGGCGCGTCGAGAGAGACCCCTTTGACAGCGGACCCATTTTAGAGCAGACCTATGTGTTAGAGAGGAGAGCTCGGCTCTTCGAGTCTCTGTCGGCCCAGGTGCCGAATTTGTAACGCCTCTGTATATATGCTGTACATAAACGTTGTTTAAACTCACCGTCGTCTCGTCCGCTCGTCTATCAGCTCTGCGCAGAAGCAGTCGCGAGCTGAGAAACCTACGCTACCAAACGGCTGGTGACCTTCCCGGTGGAATTCGAAGCAGTGGCGCCTTCGGGACCGTGTTGGCGTCGCCGTCTTTCGAAACAGTGGTTGCAGCGGTGAGATTCGTAGCGCCCTTCGTAACGTCGTCGGAGGTGCGCGTCGCAACAGTGGTGGCAGAGGTGGGACATCGATGCGCGTCGCAACAGTGGTTGGCAGCTGCGGGATCGGCCGGCGTCAGCGACATCGATGCGGTGAGTGCCTGATGTTTTCCCCTCAGTTCACCAGACTACTCTAGCTCAGGTTGTAGTAGTTGAGAGAAGGGCTGTGTGAAGCATTAGAGTGAGCTTTGATCGTTTCAAGCCAAGTCGAAGCGCTTTGAAACCAAAGTTAATGCGGAGGGTGTAAACACGGGAGTGTGAAAAATTGCTTGCGCGTCTTGCTAGTAGGCTTATAGTGGGTACGGCAAGTAGATTCTTAACAGGGGCAAACAGCAAGAGGCTAGTGTGAACGATAGAGAACCTTAAAGTGAAGGAACTCATCGAAATTTGTGAGGAATTCGGCATTACTTTGGGCCGTGCGAAACAAACGCAAGCGATCATTGAGATCATGAGAGATGGAGTTTCGGCTGAGGAAGTCGATGAGGCCTGGGAGGATATCATAGCACGCCGCGAAGAGGCTGAAAGGCGAGAAGTAGAAGCTCGCGAACGTGAAGAAACTGAAAGGCGAGAAGTTCGCGAACGTGAAGAAGCTGAAAGGCGAGAACGCCGTGAAGAGGCCGAGAGGCAGGAGCGCCTTGAGTTGAAACGAATAGAATTGGCAATCCTACAGTGTTCGCAGGCGCCTAGCGTAGCTTCTGCGACAGTTCAGGTCAGCGGTCAGAGAATTCGCGACCAACTGCCACCGTTCGTAGTAGGCGAGGACATGGCGAAGTATCTCGTCAAGTTTGAACACGTCTGTGAGCGAAACGCTTTGGAGCGGTCTCTTTGAGCGCAGAACCTGTTAGCTCTTCTTCCCGGCGAAGTTTCCGACGCGATAACTTGCTTGTCGAGGGAAGCGTTTGAGAGCTATGACGAGGTTAAGGAAGTGCTCTTGAGACGTTATAAGTTGTCACCCGAGGCTTTCAGGCAAAGGTTCCGGTATGCTGAAAAGGGGAATGAGTCACACGTTGACTTCGCGTTTCGTCTTAAAGCCGATCTAATTGAATGGCTCAAGGGCGAAGGTGTTTATGACGACCGCGATAAAGTGGTGGAATGCGTTGCATTGGAGCAATTCTACCGCTGCATCGAGGAGGATGTCAAACTTTGGCTGCAGGACAGACTTAGTGAAGTACAGCTAAACAAGGCAGCAGAGTTAGCTGAGGAGTATTATACTCGCCGAAAGTTGCATAGCAGGGCAGTGCGCGTTGAAAAGGGTGAAAAGAAAAAGGGCTTTTCAATGAAACTTCATACATGGAAGCCGCGAATCTGCCACAACTGCAAAAAGGAAGGGCACATCGCGATAAACTGTCAGCAAAACTTTGCAACTATTCTAGAATCGGAAAACAAACGGAAGCCGCCAATCTGCTACAACTGCAAAAAGGAAGGGCACCTCGCGATAA